CGGATCTGTGAACCTCCGGAGTGTCTGAAAGAGGAAAAGAAGAGCAAAACTGCACCGGTTCTGGTGACTCATCAAACTCATCCTGACGGAAGCTGCCGGCTGAAAAATGTCATTGATGTCAGCAGATTTAGCACACTCGACAAGCTGCACCGAGTCACTGCATGGGTGCTTGGATGGAAAGCCATCCGCCCCGGCCAGACCAGAGAGCACGGAGACCTGACTGTGGAAGAGCTCCGCAGGGCTGAAAACATCTGGCTGAAGGAACTGCAAATGGAGTCGTACGCTGCGGAGCTTGCCAGTCTTCAAACGGGAGAGGAAATCAGCAAGCAGTCCAGCGTTTACAATCTGAATCCGTTCATGGATCAAGATCTGATGAAGGTCAGAGGGAGGCTGCAGGAATCTGACCTGAGCCAGGCAGAGAAGCACCCCATCATCGTTCCTTCAGAGCACCGATACGTGCGGCTCCTTATCCTCGATCGACACCAACAAGCATGCCACGGTGGAGTACAACAGACGCTCCATTCTCTCAGGGAACGGTTTTGGATCCCTCGCGGCCGACAAGTCGTTCGGAAGATCATTCGTGATTGTTCAATGTGCAAGATGTTCTGTACAGAACCTTTCGTTGAAGAAGCGGCTCCACTCCCAAAGGAGAGAGTGTGCCAAAGACCGCCATTTTCGGCAGTTGGAGTGGACTTGGCCGGTCCAATATACAGAAAGGACCCTGCCGGAAAAAACCCTCTGAAGGTGTGGCTAGTTTTGTTCACTTGCACCGTAGTACGAGCGGTGCACCTTGAACTAGTGGAGTCTCAATCTGCAGACGACTTCATGAAGGCATTTGAAAGATTCTCAGCAAGACGAGGGCAACCTGAGATCGTCTATAGCGATAACGGCCTCAACTTCAAGCGCGCGTCAAGGATTCTGGCTTCAAGAGGCGTCAGGTGGAAGTTCAATGTGCAGCGAGCGCCCTGGTGGGGCGGCTTCTGGGAGAGGCTGATACGTATGACCAAAGAAGCTCTGCGTAGAACCCTAAGAAGAAGTCTCCTCACGTGGGAGGAACTCAGCACAGTCCTGTGCCAAATCGAGGCGGCCATCAACGCCAGACCGCTGACGGCCCTCAACGACGACCCAGATGACATCCGCCCTCTCTCGCCACAAGACTTCTTACGAGACAATCCTTCTAAGCCTGGGACTGGCGACCATCAGTATACGGATGCATTTTCTGTCTCTGATCGTGATCTCAAATCGATGAGAAAATATCGCCTTCAGGTCCTCCAGCATCTTTGGAAGCGGTGGAAGACTGAGTACTTAAGAGCACTCCGCCTACCACTACGGGCAGGACCACAAAGACGAGGACCAAGAGAGCATGACTTGGTGCTCATAGAAGACAACCCGCGTTCCTCGCGTGCGTTGTGGAAAACAGGCATAATCGAAAAGCTGCTTCCTGGACGGGATGCTCGTGTGCGGTCGGCGACTGTGCGCACTACAGACGGGACGCTCGTGCGGCCGATTCAGCGGCTTCATCTTCTGGAAGGAGCTAACCTGACCCAACCTTAGGATATCTACGTCCCAGGGGTGACAGCGGTGTAGTGAGATGTTCGTTATTCATCTCACGGGGGGAGGATGTTGCGAATCACGCAGCAGATGTGCTATTTGGGTGTCTGTCACGTGACACAGCTCGCCCTGTTTAAAATGGTCTTGCAGAGCATGTCTGGCTAAAAAAGAGAGAATACAGATGGACTTGAATCACAGAAACGTTCTTTCGTTAATTTATGATTATTCGATTTTAACTTTAATTCTGAACAAAGTAAAACAGACAGAATCCTAATATTGAAGAATGACAATACATAGTGTCGTGTAGTAGCTTAATTGTGCGGTACGTTAAGCACCGATGAATTATATCACGGTGGATTGAGACATACGCTTCATATCACCCAATAATGTGAGGCTGAGCTGTTGAGCTGCGCGGTATGGACTATCCATTGCGTTTTTATTAGCTGCAAAAGACAAGCCCGTAAATTCATTCGCTGCTGACTGCGATGCATTAATTAGTCGTTCTGAAAGCATACAAGCATAAGTACGCATTAAATACATTCTTAAAAATTGTAGCGCTTGGTGTTTTCATTGGTATAATAGTAAGTATGAACTGTACATAATAGGGTTGGGACCTATCTGCATGCTCTGTATGTTTTGGTAAAATAAAAAAGCTCAGAATTTTTAATGATTTAATTTAAAATCACTTTGTTAAAAAATGCCTAGTTAGTTCAGAAATTAATTATTTGTGGCTGAAAACAACTTGCTTCTGATTGGTCGGGCTAATCATGACGTCACATGTAGGTATATAACTGTCTGTATATTTGGCGCAGTTGAGACATACATTTTCTATGTATTTTCCTATGGTAAATCGGAGTGATTGGTCGTGTTTTCAGTGTCTCTTTATTTTGCGCTGGTATTGCGTGGCTAAGAAGTTTTATCAAGAATGGCATATACTAAAATGTTCCTTTAATAATGGAGCTTCAATATCTGTGAGTTTTATTGGCAAGCGAAAACTGATTTCGCTGTTATTTTATCTGGAAATTACTCATTTTTTTAGGTCAATATTCAAAATATTTTACGGGAACAAGTTGGCACTTTTCTTGATTTTTGCACTCAAATCGCGTGCGATTCAACTGTATTGGAACTTGCAAAGAAGCTTGGTGATTAATTAACTGTGTTGTTATGGCACTGTTTGCAAAGTATGGATAATGAAACTCTGCCAAAGACTTAGCTACATAGCAATGCCTCAAGTAATACGCAGGAGGAACAGAATTCAGAGTCCGATCGAGAAGAATTGGTGCAAATGCTACGAAGACCAGGCAGCTCTGATACAATAGCTAGTCGTCTCACTACTCTCACTCCATTAGACCAGCTGATTCCTGACAGCACCGACTCGGATGCAAAGATGGAGCTCATCTTCCAAGCCAGAAACCAGTTCTTTGATGGAAGATGTGATGCTGCCTCTGTCTCTGCTTTGTTGGCCACTTTGGACGGGGCGGAGCTCCGCTCCTTGCGTGAGCGGTTATTCGCCTGTCATCCTATGTATCCTATGTATCCTATGTACATGTTTGTATGTCCTATGTATGTTTGTTTTAAAAACGTTGCAGCGGCGCTGGGAACTGCAGTCTTAGATCTGGGTATGTTTGGCATCTGCAACTCTTCATATACACATTAACCCTATTTCAGACGGGGAGACCTTTCAGGATTTTCTTGTAGGTACAATTGCCAAACGCCGCGAGACATTCAGCTCATATTTGGTGACTTTTCCTAAATGCTCATTGCGCACATCTCAGCAAAAAAAAAAAAAAATGCCGGGTCAGGTCAGGTCAGGTAACCAGAGCGGGTTTGTTGACCCCACCTCAGAAAAGTTTGCAAACACGTCAGAGCTTGAGTTTTTCACGAAGTTATTTCCTCTCATCAAGTCTTCAAAACAGTACCTGCAGTATGTGTCGTTTGTATATCTCAGAATTTTTGATCTGTGACCTGAGGTTAGGTCAGAGTCGTGACCTTTACATTGCAAGCCTATAGAAAAGTATTGAAATGCGACCTGCACCTCGAGTAAACGAGTCAAAACCACCCAATTCTTTAAGAATTATGACAAATTATCTTATCTGTAATGATCCAGGTGCCATTTACTGACAGGGACACCGGAGAGGGTTATCTGAGCCGAGATCATGTGAGGTGATATCTACCATACATCAATGCTCACAATACTTACAATATTGACAATGCTTTTGCTTACAACACTTACAATACTTACGATGAGACCAGCAAGCACTCTGCCGTTACAGTTCTAACTTCTGCTTCGAAAAACGACGTTACACACATTCGCTGCCAGCATAACATGTATTGTTTGACAGTAACAAAATACAATTGACATCTGAACCCCAAACGGACCGCCATCCACTCAAATTTTATAACCCTGACCGGTCAGGGGGCGAATGGAGGTCATCTCCTGGGCATTACACTCAGCCCTTGCACAAAATATCTCACCTCACAGTGATCATTACAACAATAGCACCGACTTGATAGTGGATTTCAAAGTACTTGCATCAGCTCTTCCTGCTATTGCAGACGATCATCTCCTCAGGGTAATGTTGTTCGGGACATGAGCGAAGATCGTTTTCGGAGTTTCATAAGTGCTACTGCAACAGCCTGGCACAAAACAGGACTTGTACGCTCTTCTCTGCACTTTGCCCTTCAGTATATCATAAAAGAATTGTTTAGAATCCATCTTACGCTTCTTTCACAGTCTCCCTTGCCACCGTAGGGCGTAGATAGATTGCTGTTGCTGGTAAGTTAAGGCACGGTAGATAGAAATTACCTCGGTTCTCAACGCCTTAAGTTATTTTCATAAAAAAGAACAAATAAATGATCAATAAGATGACAGGAATGTAAACATTTTAATCGTAAAGTAGTCCAAATATTGGAATGAGCTTTTGCTTTTCAGCATCCTCCGATTCATCATCTTTATCATTTGAAAATTCGAGGTACATAAAATGTTTATCACGCGCTCATGTTAAGTGGGAATATAGTACACGGCAGACACATCATTTTTTGACACTGAACATTTCATCCGTAAATGTTTTAGCATAATTTAAAGTTAAAAACAGCGCGAATGGCAGAGTGAAGCAAACAACATTTTTCACCCATTGATATAACATGTTATCTGTGGTGCGCCAGATGCGCCATTATTTGTCAACCGCAGAAGGTGACATGTGACGTAACAGCATCAAGAACATCTTTTTTCAAGAACTTTTCAAAACAAGTTTCCTATCTTTCTTCCCCCATGTCTCTCAGCTTATTGATTTTATGAGGCAATGGTATGCACCATAAATTCTGTGAAAATAGTTTGATCATTTTCATGCATTCTTAAAAAATCGAGTTCCCAACCCCATTATTTTGTCCCTGGTAATGACTCAGCTGCACGTGGATTAATTAACATTTTGGTGTCGCCTGTTCTGCAGGCACTGGGTCCACCAGGAGTCCTTCAAGCTGGTCCATCCTCTGCTCCGCAAGTCGCTCTTCATTTTCGCCGTGGCCAACTCCGTGGCTAACCCGATGGTGTACGGATTCTATCACTCACAGCTGTGCCAGCGCATTGAGGTAGGTATTGCTTGTGGGCAAACGTCCTACCGATAGGAACACAGTTCGATACTTTTTAATCGTCTTTGTTTGGTTGGGTAATGAGTCAATGACATATGCTGCTGCTAGGCCTAACATTGGGCATGTAATGCAGTTCCGTTTTGGTGCGGTCCTGGCGAGTGTAATCGATATGATTGAAAGTTACTCGGCGGCAATAATACGATATCGATAGCCTCCTGAATGTTCCTCTGGGGGACTAATACAGGGCTGAACGGACAACTCATCAGCGTTGAAACTAGAGGGCCCAGTCGAGCCTCCCTGAAGGCGACGAAGCAACGTTCTGCTGCGCTGTTGGTGCTTAGTGTCCGTGTAAAATATGCATTAGTGTTATATCTTTTATGATAGTTTGCACTAAACGGGCTACTCCTGACATTAACTGATTGAGAAATTACACCTTTGAAATAAAAGCAATAAGCTGCCTGCCTAGCTGACGAAAAAAAATTGAATGTTATTGCTTAAAACGACGAGTGTTTTATCAGTATCGAAGACGATTTGATGCTATTTTTCAGTCAGATTTCCGAATAAGTCTCCTTTCAAAACTTCTCACCGTCCTAGTTCAGCAGCCTAATGTGCAGAGTGACCTTCCGATACTCCTCACTATAGCCTTCCCCATTAGTCTCCTATAACCGAGCTGAGCCGACGGACGAATTCTGGATGATGGCGCTCAGCGTCTGGTGTCGGCAGGCGCCTCCGTCCAGTCGCGGCAAGTCACAGAGCGTCGAGCTGGCCATCCTGGAGACGGCGCCCACCTGCGACACGCTGCTGAGACACCCGTCCTCGTCCACGCTGAGGTCGGCCACCGGACGCCGGATCCCCGGGTGAGTTACCCCCCCTCTGCTGCGGCCACCGGACGCCGGATCCCCGGGTGAGTTACCCCCCCTCTGCTGCGGCACCCGTCCTCGTCCACGCTGAGGTCGGCCACCGGACCCCGGATCCCCGGGTGAGTTACCCCCCTCCGCTGCGACACCCGTCCGCGCTGAGGTCGGCCACCGGACGCAGGCTCCCCGGATGAGTTAACCCCCTCTGCTGCACACCCGTCCGCGCTGAGGTCGGCCGAGGATTCCCAAGTGAGTTACCCCCCCCCCCCTCTGCTGCGTCACCCGTGGTTCGGTTATCCCCTTTTCTACGGCACCGACGGGCTAGTAACCATACCCTGTTTTTATTCACCCTCTATTCCAACATCGCTATAAATTTTCCGGCAGCCGTTATGCGTTACCCACCATCTCTGTGATATTACATTGATATTGTAGAAGCCCAAATAGGCCGTTTTCCGTCGGTAGTTCCTATTACGTGCTCAATATTGGCTGCACGTCCCCTGTCATCAATATAACGTCTCTAGTGTCACTGCGGGACATCTATCTGCTCTTCGGGACATATTCCGTTCACGTGTCCGTTGTATTAATATCATGTTCAAGATTAAGTAGGTCTGATATTTTATCGACTTGTAATGAGATCATTCAAGTTATTGTCTCGGCATTTAACCGAATAATATAAAAATGACTGTTCGATTCTAATTGACACATTTCAATATCAATAGTTTGTCCTCAAACACCTATCTTTTAATAGTTGGCCATAAATTTTGCGTTAATAAAAGGCAGACTTGCTTCATTTTGCTCTCAAGCTTATGATACATCATGATCATGTGTATTAGATATTTGGGATGAATTCGATATACGCACTGATAGGTGTAGACACTGTGACCATTGACGCTTAAAAAAACGGACCAGCAGATTTGACGTCAATGCTCCCGTGTTTTTGTTTCAGTCGTGACGGCATCACCAGAGCTGCCGCTCTGCAGCAGGAGCATCCGCCCCGGATCACCGGGTCACCAGTCAGCGGCCGCCACCAGCTGTGAGGTCACCGGTCACCAGCTGTAGGTCACCGGTTCACCAGCTAGTGGCCGTCACCAGCTGTGAGGTCACCGGTCACCAGCTGTGAGGTCACCGGGTCACCGGGTGAAGCATCACCGGTGATCAGCTGTAGAATCACCAATTACCAGCTGACGAATCACTTATCACCAGAGCTGCAAAGTCACCAGTCACCAGCTGTAAGGTCATCAGTCATCAGCTTTACGGTGACTCGATTACTAACCATCAGCCCCAGTCACAGCTGTGGGCTCACCATAGCACGGCAGGGCCGTGGGTCACCAGGTCACCAGGCCACCAGCTGCGTCTCTGCTGTCAACGCGGTCACCCCCTGCCGGCCCTCCGTCCCGGGAGGGCATGGGTGGAACGCTAACCGCCGGCGGCGACAGGCCAGCGCCGCCGGACACACCGCTTTGAAGTGGAACGGACTCGGATGTGGGGCTTGGCAGCCGAGGATTATGTCAGTGCAATAGGCCCGTGCCGTTAGGACGGGAGGAGGAGTACTCGTTCGGGGAAAGGCTCATTGTGGACGCGAGCCGGCATCAAAGGACTGCGGGCTACGACCACGTGCCCCGGCCATAGAATGTGGTGAAAGGGCACGAGAGGGCTCACGGCGTTTCATCAGTGCACTCGTGGTGGAGAATCGAGGTTGATGTTGATTGTAGAATCTGCACATTGATGTGTAGTTTTGAATGTAATTTACATGTGGACAGTACGTATGATGTATGTACGCTGTACAAAGTGCATGACGTCTATGTTGAGACAACTGTTTCGAAACAAGCGTCTATTTAAAACAGGCATTTATATAGATATCTGTTGACATTGAAAGTTGTGGTAATGAGTGAAAAGTGATGATTTATTTTTAAGTCAGTTCTGCACAACATACTCGTATGTTGAAAGGTCTTAATGGCGTACGTTTTTTTTTCGGTTTCGGTTCTGTGTGTGTCATTGTTCCTTTCTGACAATCTGACCCATTATTCGTTTCTGACAATCTGCTTTACTTATTTCCTAATGCGTGTCTCTTGAAGATTAATCGATTTCAACTTTAATGTAACTATTTATGCGTACAAATAATAAGATAACTATAGATCCACAAATGATGCGTGAAATAAATATATAGGTACCTATATTTTATTTCATTTCACTTGCCTTTTTGTTTAGTTGATGTGTCATTGAAAAGATTAATATTATACTTGAATACTCAATTCATTACCCATATCGCTGTTCGGTTTCAGAACTCTGCAGAGTATAGTTTTTTTTTTTACCAATTCATGATCATATATTGTGTTAATGAAATGCTGTTTGCTGGCGAAGTTTTTTTAAGTTCACTTGTGTGCAAACGATAATCAGTGTGGCCGCACATATATGGAAGCGTCGTGATGATGTGTGTTCACATATTCCCGCCCCCACACCACCGAGATGTCACCGTTTCTGGCGAAATGGTATGTTTGCTATGTAAGCATACGTGAGTAGCGCGATATACATAGATGTATGGCCAGTGTTAGCCTACCTAAGTTACGGTATGTAGCTTCTTACCCTGCAGCCTTGCAGCACTGTTAAAATTGTGTGCTACCGCTAATGTTCAAATATAGTGGGGTTTTCGTTTTTTTTTTAGCATCTTCTTGTTTCCTTCCTTTTTGGACGCATTTTTTGTGCGCTTTGGGAATATGTTTTGCTTTTTAGTTCAAGTTTTTAAAGGCTGAGCTTAATATCATGCTATGACAGCATAATCATTGTTACCTACTACTGCAGTGCAAGAAATGTGAACTTATCTGTATGTTTTGTGGACTGGGTGTAAATAAACAGTTGTTAAGTACATTTGTGAGTGGCTGAGTGCATAAATGTGAGGAGGTACAGTCTCTGGGCTTGTCCAACCGCTAATAATACATATAAGGCATTAATGTCATTTTCCACACACATCCTAGTCCTCACGTTCTGATGGCGGCAGGAAACAGAAAAAGACCAATCCTCGTGATCGTCGTTCCACTACGTGGTACCATTTTCACCTTGATAAAAAAAAATCAACGTTCAACGACTGCAGGAATTTAACTTTCAATACCATGATCCAAACTTACGATAACTTCCCTTGCATCGATGCCCTGTAGTTTAATTTTTTGTCAAGATACGCTCTGTTTTATATCTTATAGTTTAGCTTAAGACGGAAGAACTGCTCATTTAAACAAAATAATCTTTATTGCTTGCTTATACGGATAACGCTTGCGGACGTAAAGACATCAGCGGGCCGGATGCGGAGTTTTCCCACCACTGCACTGGCTTAGCCTATCGGCGACGCAAACAATTCAATAGGCCCGAGGGAGCAATTGAGTGCCGCTCGTGAGTCGTTTGCCGCTGCCGGCGCTGACTGGCCGGGGCTGCACCGACGGTGCAAAACCAACAGGAGTTAAAACAGGTGAACGCTTGAGCGTTCCATGGCATCACTCGTCTTTCAAGTTTATGTATGGAATGCTATCCGATGTCGTCACTAACATGGATAAGGTTAGTTATCGCCTCCTTATTTATTTTGAAAATAATCTTCTTGGACGCATGACAATTTGTCACTTCGAGTCTTTCCATGGAAGCCAACACCACCTTGTTGACTTGCAAGTTGCAACCCTTGGCTGTAACTTGCTTTTTCGCCAGGACAATCAACGCGGAACTGCCGGAAGCCTAAAAGGACGGGCATAGGTTTTGTGGTCGCTGTATCATCTTGATTAGTTCTCGCAGATGACTCTCTACATATATAGAGTGGAGGTCAATCAGCTTTCGGCACAAACGACTGAATGCTTAGAAAAGTTTCAATGCGAAATTGAAATGAAGGGGCCGTTGAGAAGATGAGACTGCTTTCTCCTCCGCCGTTTTCCGTTCGCTCGCTCCGCACAGATCTGCTGGAACGGCCCGTGCCGACCGGGCGCTGGCTGTGCAAAAGCGGGACTCTCCAGAGCCTATTTTAAGGGAATTTGACTGGGGGGGCAACCTGGAAAATTGTCTCTAATAATCCATCAACCCTCGCCCGTATTGGTATTTTCCAGCTGCGAACGTATATGGGGGGGGGGTCCGTTGGACCTTCCCCCTTGCCGTTTCGACCCTGCTCGAGCTAGAGCTTCGTGGAAAAACGACCGTGTTGCCCGTGATGAAAGGAAGCCGATGATACCCAATTTTAACCCTCGCCGACCCTCGCCGACACAGGGGGGGGGGTTGATGCAACCCCCCTAAGGTTTTTTCGCGAATAACTCGCGTAAAAAGCTGCCGATTGCAACGAAACTTTCAGTACCCTCGCATTTATCAATTTTACACCTACCCTGAAAATTTCATGACCCTGACCCAAATGACCTTTGACCTGTGACCTACTTTCCGAGACCATGTTTGGCCGGAATCACGATTCGGCGTATGTCAACTCGCATTAGCCGCGCTTTTGCAAGCTTTTCGTGCTTTCAAACGTTCAAACATGTGATTTGATGTTGCTCCCATGCATTAGGGTGGATGTCAAGGTCACCTGAAGGTCAGGTCAGGTCAGTGACCTTTGATGACCTCGGTTCACTTTTTCGAGTTTTACATTTTTCTAGGCTAGTTTTTGGAGCTGAATTCGAATTTAGCAACCCGATGAACATTTACGAAGCTTAGTTTTAGTGCCTTTGTAACATGTTACGAAGCTGTCAGAGGCGGTTGACACCTACTAGGAATACCCGGCAGGACCCCTACTGGTTGACCTGACCTGACCTGACCCGACCTGGACTAAATGCATGAAGACATCATCTGTGATCAAAACTCACATGATATCATTCGGATCAGCACCCCGAAAAACCCCATAGCAGCCACACTTTACGACGTTCTAACAGGTCCCGATTTTCCCGATTTTCGGGTCATTGACCTGACCTGGAAGGTCACCCGATGACCTAGGACATTAAAATTGGATATCATCGGCTTCCTCTCGTGACGGGCAGCACGCTCGTTTTTTCCGCGAAGCTCTAGCTCGATCAGGGGCCAAACGCGAGGGGGGGGGGGTCGTACCAACCCCCCCCCCCCTTGTGCCGTCGAAGGACGCAAAATGGCCTGTGCCGGCGAGTGTTAAGGTCCTAGGTCGTCATCACTTGACCTTCCAGGTCAGGTCAATGACCCAAAAGTCGGGAAAATCGAGACCTGTTAGAGCATCGTAAAGGGTGGCTGCTATGTTTTTTCGGGGTGATGATCACGAATATCATGTTAGTTATGATTATAGATGATGTCTTCATGCATTTAGGCCAGGTCGGGTCAGGTCAGGTCAGGTCGACCAGTAAGGGTTTTGCCGGGTGTTCGTAGTAGGTGGCAACCGCCTCTGACAGCCTCGTAACATGTTACGAAGGCACCAAAACTACTTCGCAAACGGTCAAATGGTTGCTAAATTCGAATTTAGCTCCAAAAACTAGCCTAGAATCTTATAGAACTCGAAAATGTGAACCGAGGTCATCAAAGGTAAATGACCTGACCTGACCTTCCGGTGACCTTGACACCCACCCTAATGCATGGGAGCAACATCATATCCCATGTTTGAACGTTTGAAACCACGAAAAGACTGCAAACGAGCGGCTAATGCGAGGCGACATGCGCCGAATCGCAATCCCGGCCAAACATGGTGCCATGGTGCTAGGCTGCCGGTGCATCTGAAAGAACTGTGGGTGCCCCTGACAAGCCTTAAGTTCCAACGACAGGCCCGTGGTGCCCCTGACAGGCCCATGATGCCCTTGCGAGGCCGTTGGTGTCCCTGCTAGGCCGGTGGTGCCTCTGCTAGGCCGCTGGTGCCCCTGGGCCCTGAGAGGACTGTGGTGCTCCTGACAAGCCTGGAGTGTCCCCGACAGGCACGTGGTGCCACTTACAGGCCCAAGATGTCCCTGCGAGGCCGGTGGTGCCCCTGCCAGGCATGTGGTGTCCCTGCTAGGCCTCTGGTTCCCCTGACAGGCCTGTGGTGTCCCTTGGCCCTGACAAGCTTGAGGTGCCCCCGACAGGCCCGTGGTGTCGCTGACAGGTCCGTGGTGCCCTTGCTAGGCCTGTGGTGCCCCAGGCAGGCCTGTGGTGTCCCCGGGCCAAAGGGGGCGGGGGTCATAACCCATATGACCCACCATTGGATCCACCACTGGTCATTACTTGCAGACTGACTCATTTGACATCCATTGCAAAACAAGTCACAGTTGTATGTTTGTCACCGTGTTCCTTTATGCCCATTTTTATAGTGGGCACATCTCGACGACTGGGGGGGCAATTCTGTTGAGTGCGGGGGCATTTGCCCCCCCCAGTTAACATGTTAAAATAGGCCCTGGGACTCTCATTGATTTCAACGTGTTTTTAGCTGTCCGCCTGTATAATATGTCTGTCTGCCACTTGTCAATCCACTTTCTAAGCCCTTTCATAAAATACTATTTATTTCATCTCCACGCTGTAGGATCTGGATTCTGGGGCGACATAACGGTTTTAAAGGAATGTTTAACTCGGCATGGTGATATCACCGTCATGCGTATTAGAAAATGCCTTGCGTTTCATGTAAAAATAAATCACGCATATGATGCTCTGATGGGGAGCGTACGATCCCCGTGCAATGCCAAAATTGCGGTCTACTATGCATTGGCAGGGGCGTAGGATTTATGTTTTCAATATCATTTGGAACGCATCAGGTCTCGGTACGCAGTCAGCATATTATATTAATTAGATTTTCAGCAGAAACAGATGGATGTTATAGGATTTACTTACACAGTGAGAGCTGACGTGTCCGTATGCTGTAAGAGCATAGGGTTATTACGGTACGTTTTGTCTTCGGCTTAGACAAAACATTAGCTCTGCAGGCTCACTCACTGTCTAACTGCTCAGACTTCAGGCTTTGACCAAGTACGTAACTACAGTTATTACCTATATCGATCAAAACCAATAATTTAACATCAATCTTATGTAGGCAAAACTGTAAAAGAGTAGAATTGTCGGCTCTAAAGACAGCCTGAAAGTGAGCGTATGGCAGTCGGCACTAAAACCCAGACAAATACGAAAGGCTGCTAAATTGGGCATTAACGGATACAAAAGCGCCGTAATCCCAAAGGCGGCAGAAGCGGTGCATTCTATGGCAACTCAATAACATTTAAAAGCCAGTGGTCCAATCACAGTGAGGCTTGCGCCAAGTTCCACAGTGAGAAAAAAAAACATAACCCCGGGCATGGATTCTCCGCTCTAATCTCGCTCCACTGCCGTCTCATGCCGCCAAGTATAGTTGATGAGGGGTGCAACGTCTGCGCTGCGCTGTGATGCGAACAATGAACACACGGAACCATCCCATGAGACGTATGACATGTGTGACAAGATCGGGTCCTACAGTCGAAAGGCCATTGCAATCTACAAACATAAAAAATCGGCCTATATAGGTATGTTGTAATCTACATGTATTGATAGCTTAACCCGCGCACCGACGGGGGTCTGCGCCAACTTCGCACCGACGGGGAGGGGGGGGGGGCGGATGACCGCCCCCCCCTGAGATCTCGAGAACGAAGCAAGATAGCGACAAGCGGTAAACGGCATCGGATACGCACGGCCAAGATCTACAATTTTTACTCAGGTCATTTTCAGGTCAGGTCAAAGATGACGTCACAGGGGTCGAAAAAGTCAAAATGGCGGCGCTAGATATGGAGAGTTTTCTCGAATAACTTTCGAATTAGTCAAGATAGGAACAAACTAAGGGCATCATCGTGATCCTCTCGTCAATCCGCATCGAATGATATATATGTTGACCTCGAAAGGTCAAGGTCAAAGGTTGACCTCAGGTCACGTGACCTCGAGGTCATCATGTATATCATTCGATGCGTCTTGACGAGCTGAACACAATGAGACCATCCACGCGTCTGTATCTTGTTCCTGTACGGAGTTATTGGCCAAAAACCTTTGGTGACCTTTGATGACGTCACATGACCTCACAGCCGCCCAACAGCAAAACAGACCTCAAGGTAGCGAAGGTTGATCGTATATGAAGTCATGTATGGTATATGGGGCCATTCCGACCCGTTTTAGTGGTAAAAACAGGGAGTTGATTTTTCCCCCATTGACTTATAATGGGGAGGTCGCGAAATTGACCTGACCTTAGGTCACCGATATCAAAATTCCGAGATACACAAAATGTAGCTACTAATGACCTAATAATATCCTGCGACTTTCAAAGGCCTCCGACATCTACTGTAGCTCTGGCACGGTGACAAAGTTGCAAAAAAGTGACTTGAGGTTGGGTCATTCAAAGTGACCTGGTGACCTGACCTTAAAAGGTAGGAGGTTCAAACTTGCACACCATGTGTAAAATTGATGAGGTTATAGTCATACCAAATTTCGCGGCGCTACGCGCCGCGGTTTTCCCGCTATTCGCGAAAAACCTCAGGGGGGGCGGATATCCGCCCCCCCGTCGGTGCGCGGGTTAATTTTGGTATGTTTTCAAACAAATTTGGAAAAAGTCTAAATGAAAATTAAGATAAATAAAAAAAAAACAGTGGATCGGACGGTTAGCATGTGCGGCGGCCGGTGGGGCGAGGGGCAGGGGAGGGGTCGGGGAGGGGCCGAGTGGACGCCGTCGGTGGCCGCCGTGAGACGAGCGGCGGCGCACTGAGCCCCAATCAATACACGGGCCGCCGCCGCCGCCATGGCCGCCGGCCGCCAGCACTGACCAGCGCCGCTGTTTGACCGCCTACCGCAGCCCCCGAGAGCACCAGGACCGTCAGGTGAGTCCCTGCCGCCTCCTTAGACCCTCTGATGGCAGCCAGCGCGGCCCGTCGGTCCCTCGGCCGCACAGGGAGCCCTCAGGGTCCGTCGGCAGAGCCGCGCCGCCGCGCCGTCAGCGCCGCCGTTCGGGGCCGGGCCGGGTGTAACTGGGCGGGAGCGGGCCGGGGGTTACAGCGCGGTGTCTGCATGGCTGGTATAGTTGAAGCGTCATAAACGTCAGCACTCGGTGTCTGCGCTAGCCGATAGTGGCAGCCCAATGACCGTCAGCCTATGCGCCGCTGTTCGACCCGGTGAGCGCCCAATGGACGCCGCCCGGCTCGGCAAATACGTCCGACCGGCGGGGGCTGTCCGATATCGGTATGGTTCAGACTGTCGGACGGCAAACAGACCCCACACTGGCCGCGACCGGTCACTGTTTGTCGTTGAGTGACTCCAATCAACAGGCCCTAAAGGCGGCCGGGTCTACTGTTTGATCGCCATGCCGCCTTTTGACGTTTTCGGCATTCGCCCACCTTCAGTCGCCTTTCTATTTCGACGTGCATGTGTTGACTGAGATCAATGCATGGCCATGGACCGAGCAAACATGTAGTCTAATCGGCAGTAATAGTCGGCCATTGGCGTATCAAATAGCTGGAGTTTCCCATGGGGAAGAGGCGGAGGGAAGGGGAGGGAGGTGGCTCAGGGATCGTCTGGTATTAGTAATGGCTTTCGTTTTTGCATCATTATTTTTGCATCGTTCGGCTCTTATGGATGGTGAAATAGCTCACTTTCCATGGACACACAAACGTTTTAAATCATTTAGGATCTTTATCAACCATTCCTAACAATGTTTACTAAGGGTTTGAGATTGATAACAAAATAAAGAAAATACAAGTCCTGGAAAAAGAAGATACTGTATCATAGTGATCTTCATAAGCCCCTTTTAATCGACTTCAAAATAGGGGTCTACCTACCTATTGTATATATGTACATAGTTACCTAAAACTCGAATATCACATTATTGTCCCTCGGCATTCTAAATTCTAATAACTGCCAGAGAGAATTACCGCCATTTTTCAAAACGGCACACTTTTTCTTTTCCAGAAAATCCGTAGAGTTTGTTCACTCAGGTCACATCCGGAGCCACCGACTCGTTCAGAGCTACTCGGAATCGGCGGCACGGTCGGCCAGTCGCCTTTCTGTCGCCCCGTGGCTGCGGTAAATTAAAGTTCCCGCCGGACCCGTTTATCGCCTCAGGGCAGGCCTTAGAGCGCCACCGTCAGCAAACTGCTGGTTCCGGTCGCCCCAGATAAGTCCGTTGCCACCGACCGTTGCGATTCAATGGCTGCATTTTAATTTCCTCTTTTTTGTCGGATTTCTTCTGCCTTTTTAATGTTGCGCTTTCTTAAAAATCACACAAGATATTTCCTGTGCAAAGGTTAGAAGACACTTCATCACCTAAAAAGTATTCTTTTTTACTTGAGAAGTGCAACCCAAAGCCTTGCTTTGAACCTGCCTAAAATAACGTCATAACTTGCCCTTCCCCTAAACGAATAACACGCTATATTCCATTCACTTGTTTGGGACGCTAAAAATAAATAACGGAAACATACAAAGATAAATATTCAAAATCCTACGCATACAAGGTGGTTTCAATACACAGAGACCTGCGCACAAACATATTTCTTTCCGCGGAGGCTGTGAATAGCGCCATCAGGATAGACCGTAAATCAGTGTGTCCATTACTTGCCTGCTGACACGAGCGGGAGTGCCGACCAGCACTTCGTCTCGGGCCAGGTCAGACACGCCGCGCTGACCTGATCGATAGGTACACTCACATTTTTTTTTTGTGGCACTGGACGCATCTGCTGCATTCAGCAAGATTACTCGTGCTTTGTGAGAAATTCCTAACTCAGCTCCTCCGCACTTCCTTGAACCGCGGATAAATATGCACTCCCATGGCTGTCATATTTTGAGGACAGTGCCATATTCATCTTTCTCGTCTCGGGCGCGAACCCCGTTGTTGACATTTGACTGAATTTGGTGGAAAAGCTCACGAGACCAGCAGGCTTCCTACATAGGTACTTCTGCCACTGCTTTGTAGTAACGTGTTAACAAAAGTTTTTTAATAAGAGGAGAAATTTTAGCGCTACTTATGAGAATTGTAGCATTTATAGAATTACAAAATAAGAACGTTTCCACCTACCGCGGAAGTCGACAGCACTACCAAATCCCCGCTAACCAGATTCCCTCCCCCTCTCTTTCTCCCTCTCCCACAGAGGCCGTCCGATGGCCTGGTCCAGCTGATCTCCGATATGTTCCTGTTGCGACACCGTCGCGGGGCCTCCGGCCGGCCGCCGCTGCCCCGCCAAAGCTCGCTGGCGGCGGCTCGCCCTCCGTCGCTCTCCGAGCTGCCGCGCTCGCCCTCGCTGCCCTCCCGGCTCTCCGGCGACGAGCCGCGCGTGCGGCGCACGCTCAGCGACGCCGAGGAGAGCCAGCGGTTCGACGAGTACATGCGCTCGCTGAAGTGGGCGCTGGCCGTGCTGCTGCTCGTCTGCGTGGTCGCTGGCGTGTACAGCCTGTCCGGGAACCAGCGACTGCGCGCGTCCGTGGCTCGTCTGTGGCCTGGCACGGGGTGAGGCGGGCCGGGTAGAGCTTCAGCGAGCTCGGACACCACCGCGAGAAAGGTCAGCACTGCGAGAACGGCTGGGACGCCGGGAACGGCAACTACCCCGACTACGGTTATTATAGCCGTACCAGTATGGCGAGTACGTCGAGAATGACCAACGGCCAGCACGGCGCGAACTTCCAGCACGTCTAGCACTGCGGATGGCGTGCGATCGAACCACCGTGACCAGACCTGTTGAGGAAGGTCCGGTACTTACGCGCCCCCTGGCCCGATAGACAAACAGGGCGAAGGTAGCTGAGAGGCCCGCGCCGTCCGCTGCCGGCCCGCCCTGTTTTCTCTCACAACGCTGCACGTGTCGCGTCTAGGTGTTGCCCTGCGCCCAGTCCATCCGACGGCTTACGCTCTTCATGACTGTGATACTGCGCCGAACGCACCAATGCACGCGGGGCGGAGGCATTGCTGTTCTATATGGATGCGTTGACCATTTGTGGGATCTCGAATCAAGTCAGTTGTTTAGTTGTTAGCTTATCTATGCCTGTGAAGTGGCGCAATCTGGGAGCACACCGATTTTCTAGTCATTGACGCTTTTACCTGGCATTGTTATGTGAATGTAACCCTGTCTTCAAATATAAATGCCTTGCATGACATGCGGGAGTTTTTAATTTGTAAACACAACATTTTTAATTGGTGTCATAAGATTCGACAGCATCTGCGGCAACCAGTAGCATTCAACCAAGGAAACACCTGTTCAAAGTCAACGCTTCAGAAGATAACAACTGACCGTACACCTGACAAAGCTAACGCCACGGTTAAGAACCTAAAAGATGACAAAATGGCAGGAGTCATGACTCTTATTCTTCTTATCTCCTACTATGAAGACCTGACTCAACAGCCAGAGTTATGCTCTTACCTTCCTTGATCGGCGTGTCTCGCAGTCGCAGTATCCGATGGATACGGCTTACGACTGGACTGGTCACTATGAGCCGTTGCGTCGGTTGGTAGTCCCAGCAGAAGCATTATGAAAAGCTGATGTTGTAATCCATTTTGCCTTGCCTCCAAGTGTCTGTTCACTCCCTCGCCACTGCTGCGCTACTGCGCACTGATAAACACTGGGACAGCCGTCCACACTGGCAGTAATCCTGGCCGTACCGAGACCTCCCCGACCACGAGACAGCCCCAGTCTACCGACCCGGGCCGTGACGTGGGCAGTGGATTTAGCCGGACGGTGTGCGTCCCTCTGTTAGACTTCTCCCCAGCTCCGTCTTTAATTGAACTAAGCCGCACTATTTGTAGATCTCCATGGCTCTACGCACAACGCTCGCAGCAAGACCGCGCCGCTTGGGGCGGCTGAGTGGGGCGGCACAGCGTGCGGTCAGAGACTCAGAGAAACCACGAATCGTCCATTCAAAGTGAGCGTGTTGGCTGGGAAATCCCCCTCCCCCCCCCCCGCCAGTGAGGAATCAGCCGACAAGCCCCACACGGTTATTATGTCCAAACACACAGATTGATGAGAACATTCGAATGCCAAATGGCGCGTGGACTGACTAACAAGTTCATCACGATGCTGCAGAATACTACATTGTGCGCTGCAGTGGTTCATTAGCGTGGAGGGTTCCGTCCATCCGTGGCGGCCTCGGGAGTAATATGGTCGTCACATAGAACAGAGATCATCCACCGTCCCGGATGTAGACGCATCAGGCGAGGGAATAGCGGGAAAAGTTGGACAGCTGCGCTGTGTCGCTTATATCGACCCAGGATCAACAACACGCAGACAGTCCTGCGACAGTCCCACGGCTCCAGCTGCGAAGATGGATACGGATGCTGCATGCTGTTCACTGTCCAGTGTCGCTGTCATTCGCTATAAAAACGCATCTTCCACTAGCCCCGCTGTTTTGTCGCACCTTCCCCAAACGAGCTCACCCGAAGTCATATGTATGTACCGGTAGGTACCCGTATTTTACCGACCGAGGAGCGCGGCTGCCGCAGCATGGCGGTGTTATGCGGCACAGCCTACCTCTAAGGGACGCCTGCCGCCCGCCGCCCGGCCAGTCAGCAGGCGACACGGACCCAGCACACCTACACAAAACAACTGCGGCACCCGGAAATTATCTGTTAGCCTCACAGATGATATCTCAAATGCAGCTATCATGGTTAGGCGGCAAAATTACTTTGCCTGGGTCACACTCGACAGGCTATATGACACAACCGGGAGCCTAATGCTAAGACTCAGAGCACTCAGACAGTTTAATGAGACCACCTGTTAACCCCGTCTTTAGAACTTCACGGCTTAGCGCCGCTCAGACTCCTGAAAATCACATTTCGTCGCGCCGCTGTCTCGCGGTACTATCAAAGCCACTATGATGGACCAGTAGACCTCTTTTCGCGACGGTGATTGTAACAAATGGTTGGCTGCTGAACTGGCAGCGCCAACAGCATCACGATTCACAACAGTCGAGACGCCATGCATGGCCTAGTGTCGGACGGCGCCCCCCCCCCCCGTGCTGACGCTGCGCCTGTCAGTTACTCCGCTGCTAGCCCGACTAAGCCCGGGTCACGGAGGTTGCAATTTCAACTGACTCGTTATTTTGAGAAAAGGTTCATCGGCACTCCTCCCAGACTGATCGATCGCGGACTGGAGCTCCACGGAGACCACTGACTGTCGAAGTGGAGGTTTTGGCCTGTGAGCCACAGCACCCAGCCCGGGCGAAATCCGACGCGTCCTGTTCCGGACGACGAGCTCGACATCGTTCGAGATCGATGGCGCTTTATGCGTGAGGCGTAGCGAGATAAGTTTCCGCCCATTGACGGGACGGCCTTCACGCATTGTAACCACCAGTTTACTCAAGGGCGCCGCCTTTCCGACTCGGGGAAAGTTATATAGCATTCGAGCGGTCTAGAAGGCAGACTCCATTTCCGCGACGTTAAGTAATTTTTGTCAGATTTTCATCATGTCTGCTGTCGTTTAATTGTGGAACGCACGGTGCTATAAGAGTCCTGGCTCTATTGCTATTTTACAAAGCGTTTTCATTTCATAAAATAAATGACACAAGCGGCACTATCGTATCTGACTGACAGGCCTACGACGAGTGACACATGGGTCCTCCGACCTCCGATCATATTAGTTACACCAAGGGTCCGCTGTAGGACCTCATCTCTACCCAATCTGCTGTAATGAAATGCTACTGCACGTCACAGCGGCTATTAGCGTTCAATATGCTGGCGAGTGCGATGTCCAGATTGTGAATGTGTTGTTCAACACGCTGACCGAACGATGACTTGGCTGGCTAAGAAACTGTTTTGGCGTACAACAGTAAGTGAAACGTTAAGCCCTTCTTCGCACGAGGTGCCATAAAATTGATTTTTTTTTTAGCCAACGGCTATCACCACGGTCCAGCCGTTCTCGAGATCTGGAAACGACCCCTGCACGTGCGCACGTGCAGCAGCACCCCAACTCTGGCACATGGATATGCAGTGCCTAGTGGGTGCCTACCTACATGCCAACTTTCAGCGCAATCGGCCAAGTAGTTACCGAGATATTGCAACAATTGCAAAACTGACACCTCTTCGTTTTGCGCGTGGCACGTGCATAAGGGGTCATCCACATGCATCGGGAATAGTCCAATACTTGGTAGAAGGAATGAAGCTACCCTACAAAAATTACCCCGTGTAAATCGGTCAAGTGGTTGCTGAGATATAAGCCTCGCAAAAGCGTCCGCACGGCCGGCCGCTCATACTCAGAAATTTCCGTTAATCTAAGGAAAGACTCCGCTCGCTTCGCTCGCTCCGTAACCAAAAGATTGGCAATTACATGGCGTCACTGTTAATGTTGCATCAATGTCGTTGTCAATATTAAGGTGACGTGGCCATGTCTTATTTGATCATAGAGGGTCCCTAAAACTCTAACATGAGACTATTCTTCCTAATATTGTAGGCATCATGCTAACGAAACAGCTCAGAGCCTGGAGCACTGAGCCTGGAACTTGGAGCTATTTTGGCAAAACATTGCATTTATATTACTACATTAGCAGCACATTAATAGCACCCCTGGATTTGCTCTTTTCCGCTCAGCTTTATCATGGCTAGGATGGATCGGTCTGACGTGGCGGCTGACCGACCCATCATGGCCCTATTCCAGGCTGCGTGCAGTGCGCGGTGAATGGTGAATACTTTGCGATGGAGTGAGGGTCCTTGCACAGACCAACACAACTGGTAAACACTTTCAGCCAGCGCCGATCAGAAATTAGTTTAGGCGGAAGACATTCGCTCACAAAGCAGCCGAATTTCCGACGCTCTTTTGTCCGATCCGTTCGGGAGACAGTTGTTCGAAAAAAGCTTGAAAAGAAGTTTGGAGCGGCATTGAAGCGGAGTGTTTACAAACGATGAACTACAACGTCCTTTCACATTGTGACAGTGCCACTTAACTACTTGTTTGTGCTTAGTTATGAGAATGTGTGGAAGTGTGGGACAGGAATCAGATGAGCAGGCTCCGGCACTTGCCTACAAAGTCATTTGAGACATTAATCTGTCCGCATTTGATAAATTGAGTGTCAACCTTTTCATCGAGGTGCCATGAATGTTCAATGCTCATGAAGTTGGTATCTGATTCAGACATGATTACGCATTACGCAAACAGATGGACGAAAAGGTGATGGTCTTCTCTAAGAATATAGATCGCATTGGAATATGAAATGCTTCGGATGCACGCTAACAGTTCACGCTTCCACAGCTGACACGAAACTCATTTCAGGAAATGGCAGAGCTAAGCTTGCCCCACATTTATGTATCGCATTTATTTTTGCAAGAGAACGCGTTGCGAACACAATTCAAACCACACTTGCTTCCCGTTAACAAGCATACTCTCGATTTAGATGAACGACCATTAGGTATTAGTGGCACCGAACAATAACAAACAATGCGGTATCAGGGTGGGTGAGCTCTTCCCTGCACGATCCCTTCTTCAGCACGGATAAATATTCATGACGCCTCTCAGAATTCACTGCAGCTCAACAAAAGCCAGCGCTTGACCTGTGAGATGCAATACGTCTGCTGTTTTTAAAACATCTCCACATATATCAACGATTACATAGGGCTGTTACAACGGTCACCGCCTGTGCCTCGGCGGCGATACGGAACTATAAACGACACTGGCGCGGGCGGTCGAGTACACCCTCCCGTCCACCCGCTAGGTCCCGTAGAACCTCGCCTGCATATCACAAAGTTACCTCTGACGGCCTAAGTCGGGCGGTCACACGAGCCCAGTAGTCCACAGGCCGGCCCGGCAGCCGACCCTCGCCGGCCGGGAGCTGCGGCGAACTCACACCTCAGCTCCACAGCGGCTGCAGCCGGGCGCAGCCGAGCTAACAGCAGCCAGGCGCAGCCGAGCTAACAGCAGCCGGGCGCAGTGTAGATACCAGCAGCCGGGCGCAGCGGAGGAGCCACCAGCAGCCGGGCGCAGCCGAGCCACCGCCAGCAGCCGGCGGGTGGCCAGGAGCGCTGCGCGAACAGCACATCAAGGTGGGCTCCACGCCGTCTCAGGAGCGCGGCCGTGCAGCACCACCGGAGCAGGACCACCGCTCACCGGCCTGAAACCAGCGGCGGAACGTTAATTAAATGGCCGACTGGTCTGGCGTTTGGCCTGAAAATTGGTCAGCGCACACGGGACAGCGAGCTTCATAAGCACGCATGCTATAGAACGGCGTAGCTGTGAGTTTATGAGCAGGTATATGAATCGGACGGTATTTCGGTAAATCTGTCCTCGAACAATGCACTCTTCACCGGTCAAAACAGTTATAATGTTTAAAGGTCTTGCTATGGTTTATAAGGATGACTCCTCTCTCCTAAGGATGTCGATGCTTCTTCTCTCCTCCCATAAGTATAATGCACTTTCTTTGCCCAGTCATCCAGTTTTGATGTTCTGATTAATCTCTTTTTAGCTTTTCACCTTCAAGTCTTCCCGTTTTTCACTCTCAGCTTCCTTAAACGCTGAGCTCCTATTTTTCCTTCAGTTTTGTTTGTTTATTGGAGCTTTAGGGTGCGCCGACTGCTGAGGTCATTTTGCGCTCATTCCGTCAGTTTTGATTTCATTCACGGTTTTATAATTGAGCAGAAGGCTCGACTTATATCCCATCCATTTCAATTTCCGTCTCTGGCTCTACAAAAAGATGCATAGACATCTAACCGATAAAAAAATATTCACAGATCCGTGCCACAGCCCAGTGTCAGAACGCCATTGCAGACAGCTACGTGACTGGGAAATGCTACACTAGCTAATTGTTGATCAAACTATGTATTCCATGCCGAATGTTTGGGTTTCGTTCAACCTTTCAAGAAGGCGCGTCTTTGTTCATTGCACTGAGAACTTATGAATTCAAAATGCATGGACTTTAAGTTGTGAAGCATGATGTCACTTGAAAGGACAAAAAAAAAAACATGCACACGGGACCAGGTAAGATAACCAGGTGAGGACGTTGCAACGCTGAATAACATGGCTTCAATGGCCGCACCCGACATACTATCCAAATTCCAGTAGACCAATGTATAGAAGACCCATCCTACGCACGTTCGGCGGCTAACGCTGCAGCACTCACAACACAACCCGAGCCGGAGCCGGAGCGTCAGGCGGCGCGCCGCGAGCGGTTCGGATGGCTCGGATGGTGCCGATACCAGCCAGCCGAATCGCCGACCGTTACCGCGCTGGCACACACCATTACAAGGCTGTCCGAACGCAGAATAGGGGCGTAATAGCGTTTTCACGCCGGTGGCGCCCAGCCGCAGGCACAGGCTGAGTGAATAGAGATGCGTTTTTTTTCTTTTAAATCAACTGACGACTGACAGCAGATAGGGGCATATTTTTTTGTGGAATGGCCAATGCAGTTCACAGCAACGTCAAGGGTATAAAGGTAGCGTCAATGATTTGCAACTCTTAAGAGTTGCAATGCCAATTGGCAGTGCATCTGAATTCAAAACGTCTTACTTATGCTGTATGTAGAGTTCGACATTGAATATTGATAATCCTGCCGTGTGGGAGACTGAGGGTTCGTGATACGGTGAGCTAAGAAAACAGCCAGACTTCGGGCAATTATCTTTGTGAATGTGCTATAAGACTATATAAATAGTAGCGACGAGTCCATACTGTTTGAAAATGTGCGCATCACTAAAAGCGTGTCTCCAGCTAATAATGTTCAAATTGACACAGCAAACAAACACCTTGAACGTGAACATTGAGTAGAATCTGGCAAAAATCCCCAAACTATTTCAGATCAGCTTTCCCACTCCCGAAAACGGACATTCACATTCACGGAATCATGAAAGAATTATAAATGAGAGCACAGACCAATTCCTTTTAACAAACCACACTTACAATAGCCTGAGCTCGGCCTATTGTCAGGTACAAGCGGCATATAATCCGCCGACTGAGCTAATCTCCATTTTCCGCCAAAGCGGCTGCGTGCACGTAGCGGCATCAAACGCGGGCCATACCGGAACTGGCCGCCTGGGGTGCACCGCTGGAGCTCGCGGCTCGGTGGGGTCGCGTGCCGCCGGTCCGGGGACGGGGGTGACCCGTCGCTACTCATCAGCAGCCGACGCCGCCGGGATAAGCGCCTTCGACCAGGGGCCAGGCCGCCAGGGGGGAGGGGCTGACCGCTGATGGGTGAACAGTGCGGTTGGTACGCTTTTCAAACCCGGTTGCAGACGCAACGTTGACAGAAGTGTGGATCATTTTGATGGAAAGGTAGAACCCAAACATTGTCTTTGAAGACGCAAGTCAGCTCACGTGATGTCTAGGATCTCATTAGCTTCAGAGAAGACTGAAAGTCGGTTTGACGTTTCTTGATATTTCGTTACGGCGACCTATAACAACGGGCAACTACAGTCAATACTCGTAGGACGGCAGAACATTTTGTATGATACTGGATTTGATACGAGTTCGTAATGAATGCATAGGTATTTCGAGATCGAATGGGAAATGGAATGCCAAAGGCACTGAAGATTTTATGCGCAACAATTTAAATGAATATCTTCATCTATATTCTGTAAGGATGTCCGATATCCACACGATCGCTTCAGTCTAGACTCCAACGGGCCCGACATAGACGGTCATCATGCTGTATTTCACATATACCTTCCCAGAACTGAAATTTGCGGCATGCCTAGTCCAATATTTTTCACATTGTGTGGTCTGAAAGGTCACTGACGCTGGAATAAATGTTTTCCTTTCAGGGTCAGAATAAATCACTGTGCCTCCCGTGGTATCTTCCCATTTCTGTCTTGCAAATTCGACAGGCGGTAAATTTGCTTCAACATGCTCATCAAAATGAGATTTAGTATGAACAGCAAACAGGGAGCCCTGATATAAGCCTGTAGCTAAGGCGACCAGTTTGCCATAAACTATCCCAGAATCACCTCTCCGGCCGCAGCGCCCGACGCCCTGGACCGAGGAAAAAGCTTATCAGGGGCTCACACTGCAGCTCCGAATGTACGAAATATGATATGCAGCACTATACGGGAGGAGGTCAGCACAAAATTGCTAATGAGTGTTTTCTTTTCTTAGGACGACATCGAGACACGTGCTGACCCGTATTTACGTGACATGTCGATGGTCGCACGTGACTTAGCTTGTAGGTAGTCATGTCACGTGGCATGGACATTGATTGTGCTTAGAGTTGGATCCCACAGCAATATAGTGGCTGAGATACAATGACCTTTCCTTGCGCCGTAAATAAATCAGCCGGCGTCTCATAAAGGGCCTGTCAGAGTTCACCCCGCTCGCCGCCATGAAAGTTTGAGTGCCAGGAAGAGCACGGGGAACACCTGACAAAGTACATGACTAACTATATCTAGAAAACACGAGCCGACAAGTAAGCGGCAGCCCTGACAAATTAAATGTCGCCGAAGCACAATATTTGCGTATCTCGAGACATCTGAAGGGAAATGCGTGGTCAATTCAACATCGTCACGCCCTGTCAGAGTGCTGGTTCTATCATCGCTGGCACGCAGCAGCCCTTGCCGCTGCTGGCGAGAGCCGCGCTATTCCACTGGCCGGCCACGCTGCTGGCTTCTGTTCCACTAATGGCAATTAGAGGGGCAATAAATTACCGATAGCGCCCGCACCGGAGCCGCCACGCCGCCGTTATTCTGGCCACAGACGGCAGGCTTAAGCCCTTTCTTAAATGAAAACGCCGGCCACCAGAAACCGGAAACATTTCAGCAAATTTCAGGATATGAGTGTTTACCAAGACAGGAAAGCAGTTGCCAGAAGATATGAAACATTTGGTACTAACAACTTGCGTGTCAGACTGTAGAATGCAGGTGCATAGTCCATAAGACTGGCAATGATATCCCTTGAATGAAAACCATCAAATCGCACACAAACCTGGTGAGTGCCATTGCCGTAAATCAGAATTCAAATCACAGATGTGCACGGAGAGGTAGACTTGAATACCTCGATCTAGGTGTACTCATGAGCGTACATACCCATGCACTTGACCTGAGCGATCAGCTACTCTGACCAGAGCGAGCAGCTACTCTGACCGAAAGACCAGCTGTACCCTGTGAAAGAGGGTGGCTCGTTGGCACGGTAATTGATGTCGTGATAGTGATGACAGCAAAGTGGGGTAACTTCCTGCCTTGGGGGCTTGATGCTTTCAGATCATTATGCATGTGCTGCGAGAACGTGGCTATTGCGTCTCTCTCTCTCTCTCTCTCTCTCTCTCTCTCTCTCTCTCTCTCTCTCTCTCTCTCTCTCTCTCTCTCTCTCTCTCTCTCTCTCTCTCTCTCTCTCTCTCTCTCTCTCTCTCTCTCTCTCTCTCTCTCTCTCTCTCTCTCTCTCTCTCTCTCTCTCTCTCTCTCTCTCTCTCTCTCTCTCTCTCTCTCTCTCTCTCTCTCTCTCCTCTCTCTCTCTCTCTCTCTCTCTCTCTCTCTCTCTCTCTCTCTCTCTCTCTCTCTCTCTCTCTCTCTCTCTCTCTCTCTCTCTCTCTCTCTCTCTCTCTCTCTCTCTCTCTCTCTCCTCTCTCTCTCTCTCTCTCTCTCTCTCTCTCTCTCTCTCTCTCTCTCTCTCTCTCTCTCTCTCTCTCTCTCTCTCTCTCTCTCTCTCTCTCTCTCTCTCTCTCTCTCTCTCTCTCTCTCTCTCTCTCTCTCTCTCTCTCTCTCTCTCTCTCTCTCTCTCTCTCTCTCTCTCTCTCTCTCTCTCTCTCTCTCTCTCTCTCTCTCTCTCTCTCTCTCTCTCTCTCTCTCTCTCTCTCTCTCTCTCTCTCTCTCTCTCTCTCTCTCTCCTCTCTCTCTCTCTCTCTCTCTCTCTCTCTCTCTCTCTCTCTCTCTCTCTCTCTCTCTCTCTCTCTCTCTCTCTCTCTCTCTCTCTCTCTCTCTCTCTCTCTCTCTCTCTCTCTCTCTCTCTCTCTCTCTCTCTCTCTCTCTCTCTCTCTCTCTCTCTCTCTCTCTCTCTCTCTCTCTCTCTCTCTCTCTCTCTCTCTCTCTCTCTCTCTCTCTCTCTCTCTCTCTCTCTCTCTCTCTCTCTCTCTCTCTCTCTCTCTCTCTCTCTCTCTCTCTCTCTCGCATACACCTTAAAATCCGGTGTGAAAGGAGCTTGATTTAGTGACAAATGGCCAAAATGATAAGGTCAGGTTCGCTTAGGTTGGATGCGGTCGAGTCATGCCTTTTCAACCATGCTTTCTTCATATTGGATTTCAATATGCGTGCGCAATCTTCTTAAATAGCTGGACCGATATTGTTTCATATTTTAGACTCCCGAGCAGAAATTGCGTAAGATAAGTCGGTTCCGACAACAAATATTATCCGTGCTTCCTTATAGCCTACTAAGACCGTGAAGAGCACTCATGCGGATCTCTTAAGCCCGAGGATCTTCCTAAATTACATACGATACTGCTGCATGGTTCAAATGGCATTCATTTCGAGCATTCATAGCCGTCCTATGCTCTACTGAATATGGGAAATTACTCCTTCTGCCATTAAGAATCGCATAAACGCGCGTACAAAAACGCACAAAAGCTTCCTAGTGTGTCACTATAGTAATTTGGCAGACCGTATCACAAACCACTGTTTGAGCATGCGTTAGCCTCTGGCACATGCCAACTGGCCATTGCCACAAATATGCAGACATGCTGACAGTGATCGAAGGCGACGGCCCACTTATGAGTGACAGCATCTGACGAACTTCCCCATTGATGCATATTTGATGCACAATCGGACGCCTCAAACAGCCTTTGTGACGACTAGTCACTCCGACTAACTCCGGAATTTCAACGACAGGCCACTAACTCGCCAGCCGACTTCAAATGCAGCCGTTGCCGCTGATAGCACTTTCTCGCCGTCGGACCAAGTCCCAAATAACACTGCACAATGAGGCATGCTCATGCACACGAGCAAGCCGGGACAAAAGCAGTGGATCGAATCGATCACATGCGAGGAGAGCCAAATTCGATGGGGAGCTACACAAGAATGCAACTATCGATACAATGAATAATAAGCATCTTTCATAGTTCAGACGATCTCCGGTTAACTCTACGGCGAATTTGTAGTAGCCGGACTCAATAACGACGCCTCCAGAAAATCAAATACAGATTGAAAATATTGCTTGCATCAAAGAAATGCCTTCCGCGTACCGTGAGAAAAACCTATCTCAGTCCGTCGCTCTTCCGCGCTTGTTTCAGTGCCGACAGAAGCTCGAATGCTTTTCCGTTCTGAGGACGGCCACACAGCCAGCTGAGGAATAGAGCTAACCGAAAAGTGCCAGGGAAGTGCCACGCTCCTCACTAGGAATAACGTCCAGCACAAAAAAATATATGCCGCTTTCTACGCTCTGCAGCTGAAATGTCGCAATTGTTCAAAGTAAGCACGCAATAACCTTGGAAGCTGAGCCTAGCGCTTTTTGTCCTGGATTACTGAACATTTTAATACCTCAGCAGCCAGGCCTATTTCATATGCTTCCTACAATACGTGAGTCCATTTATACTAGAGTGCAGTGCACGAGAGATCACCGTCTCACACTGGGACAAGCCTAGACACTTCCCGACCCACATCTGCTTCACATTTACCGTACTAACGACCTGAGCCCAGCCACTGGGCTCATTCCGGCTACATCTGATGAGCCGAGCGGCCCATATCGGTGGTCAGAAATGCCCCGTCTGACGTCATAGGTCAGTTATGGTGGCCTGCGGTACATATAGCACGGCAGACAGACACGTGTGCTCGTGAGTGAATGTGTAACGTCGACCCGCCCCTCATGTGTTTTCCCACCGATGGTACTCTTAGCAGCCATTGTCTCAGGGTGGAGATGTTAAACATTTGCCGAAAGACGACACCAGCTAAAGTTCCACCTGTACCAGGCCATGTATCGCAATTTTCTCAGCTTCCAGTTTCTCCTGCTGTGTTAAGGTCAGTTTTTTTGGCTGCCCAGTTTGGTTTTCCGCTACATTGCTTGTGAGAGCAGGATGCTGACATTATTTGAAGAACATGAAGAAACTCACTCACTCACTCACTCACTCACTCACTCTCCCTCCTTCCTCTCCATTAGGGTTGTTCAAAAAAACCGAATTTTGGAAAAGTATACGGGCTCATGGCTCATGTGGTGAGGTATTCTTTTCTGAGTCCAACGATGCCCTTTTTTCCGAAAAATATTGACTGCTTCATGCTTCCCAAACGGCTTGAAGAGGACCATGTCACGCCCGGCGACCGGCCGGTGTCAATAAGGGCGAGAATTCGCCGCCGCGCGCAGGCGGAAGCGCCTTATCGGCACCGCGCGCCACGACATCTACCGGGCGGCCGGCCGGCCGATGGGAGGGAGTGAATGCGTGGTCTTCTTTCACATGATAGGGGTGCGCTAGCCCATATTGTCGGAGCGGAAAGCTTCAGTGCTGCATCGGTGCCTCTGCTGCGGTGTTCTGTGTCGATGGTTCAGAAAATAGGCCAAACAGAACTAAGAAAAGACTCAACGCTTCTGGGTAACTCACTCGAAACATTCCGTTTACAGAATAGAGCTGGCTCCTTAGCATACCATATAGCTTTGTTTATTCATCAAGCTGCAAGCTCGGAGCAATAATACAGCTCTTTGCACTGCTGTTGACAACATACATTGCATTTGGACGATGCCTCGCAGCCTGAATATGCTGCTGCGCAACTCTATGCGAAAATTTATGAAGGATGGGAGGAGCTGCAGCAGGCTGCAAGGACAGAATGTGGAGACCTCGCACAGTCATTGGCCCAAGTTTTTGGGGCATGGCTCTGACCAGCATCGGCGTCACCAATGTCATGCAGATTTGTTGAAGTGAAATGCTGAAGCAACAGGATTGACGTTTGTTTTACTTAGATTAGCAGTTCGAAAGAAAAGATAACATGTCTGGGAATGACAGGGTGGCCGCCCTGACAGTGTGACGAAATGAGAAGTGAGTAGAGACAATAGCGGAGTACACATACGAGTATAAGTCAATTGCGTCGCTCCATCCAGCAGCGGCACCGACAGCCCGGCCGTGCCTACCGGTGTCGTTCAAGACCCGAATCCAGAGCCGGCATTGAGCGCGACTCTGCCCCGAGACGTGACACATATCCCCGGCGTGTGTTGACGGACAGACTTATGCTTGCAACCTCGACTGTTTGGCGAATGACGATGGCAATGTTTACTTTTCCTATTTCTAATTAATAACGCATTTAGCAGATATCTACGCAAGAAATGTATCGTGCTAATCGCAACACACCGACCTGGTTTTGTAGTAGGTAAAGCAGACGATTGGAGATGTCTCGTATCGATGTGGCCATTAGAAGCCGCGGAAACAGGGCAGAGCCGTGCTCTTTGCCGGGTCTGAATACGAGTCTTCGTCGAAGTAGAACTGGACGCTGATGGCTTCTCGCCTCAACATGAGACTTAGAAATATGTAGGTAAGGTATACTGTATACATTGTTGTATTTATACAGGCGAGGTAATGGTCTGTCTGTCTTGACACGCCGGGGATATGTGTCACGTCAGGGCAGAGCCGTGCTCTCTGCCGGCTCTGGATTCGGATCTTGAACGACATTGGTGGACATGGCCGGGTTGCTGGTGCCGCTGCTGCCCGAAGGGTTGGATTGAGGGGCGCTTGACTTGTATGTGCACTCCCGCTATTGTCTCTACTCACGCCCAACTTCGTCACAATGTCAGGGCGGCCACCGCGTCATTCCCGGGCATGTCATTTTTTTTTTGAACTGCAAATGTAAGTTAAACCTAACGTCGATGTCGGGGTCTCCATATTCTGTCCTTGCACCTTGCCAGATCCTGCTGTTCTTAGAAAACTTCAATTTTCGCATACAGGCGTGGTTGCAGCGGCCGTGAAACACCGCGCTGTATTCTCGAAACGAGATGTTTCGAATAAACTAGCCAGAAGCATTGAGTCTTTTCTTAGTTCTGTTTGGCCTATTTTCTGAACCATCGACACAGAACACTGCGGCAGAGGCAACGATGCTGCACTGAAACTTTCCGCTCCGACAATATGGGCTAGTGCACCCCTATCATGCCTATCATCATGTGAAAGAAGACCACGCATTCATTCCCTCCCACCACCGGCCGGCCGGCCGCCCGGTAGATGTCGTGGCGCGCGGTGCCGATAAGGCGCCTCCGCCCGCGCGCGGCAGCGAATTCTCGCCCTTATTGACACCGGCCGGCCGCCGGGCGTAACATCCTCCTCTTCAAGCCGTTTGGGGAGCATGAAGCAGTCAATATTTTTCGGAAAAAAGGGCATCGTTGGACTCAGAAAAGACTACCTCACCACACGAACCATGAGCCCGTATACTTTTCCAAAATTCGGTTTTTTTGAACAACCCTACTCTCCATGCCTGTCCCTTACCGTGTTTATCTCATTGCCCCGCGCCGGCGCTGCCCGGGCAGGGCTCCAGGTTGCACGCCCTTCGGGTCAGAGGTCGTGCCCCACACCCGTCCGTGGGCTGAGCCGTGATCAGACTGATACAGACGGCCGAGCGGCGGCTGTACCCGCCGCCACACGGGCGACTGCACGGCTGCCACTCACCTGAAAACAGAGCAGGATGGGCGCATATTGATTAATAATCGATTAAGTTAGTGAGAATAAAGAATCGCATTCAGAATTGTTGTTGGGATACTGAATTTACTGGCTAACATCTGTACAGGCGATTCGTCAAAAGCCGGACCGGCAGCAGTTAAGTATCAAAAGTGATAAAGATCGGCGATGAATGAGTAATATTAACCCGCGACCGCCTGGGGGGGGGGGGGGTTCGGATCCGACCCCCCCCCCCTCCGTTTTTCTTAAATAACTCAAGAACCGCCAACGCCATCAACTTGAAACTTGGCATACCTTCTCCCCCATCAATTTGACGTGTTCTGTGCAATTTTTAAGAAAAAATTTTCTTTCTTTTTTAAATATATCGATTTTAGTGATGTAACTACATGGCGTTTTTAGTCAAAAAGTGGTAAATGTTTAAAAAATCGCCAAAAATCAGGGTTTAAAGCAAATTGCAAATTAAGGACATGAATAGACGCAGCTCAACGAGTTCTTTAAAATGGCTATCTCGGATTTTCCATAAAATGCGTTTTTCATCCCTAAAAATTCAAAAAACTACATTTTTTGGAAAACAGCTAATAAAATCCAAAATTTTGAGAATTTCCAAAAAAACCGGAATATATGTTATAGAGCTCTATTAGAACATTAGATGTCCCAAATTTCAACTTTCTATCTTGATTTTTGACCCCCAAAAAGTAAAAAATAGCTTGCATAGGGCATGGTGACGTCATAAGCATTTTCGTGAATTAGAGGCACTTCTGAACATCGCATGTGAAAACAAATGACACTACTAGGTTCCTGGGACAAAGCTCGACTAGAAAATTGCATTTTTATGTCAAAAATAAAAAGTTGAAAAATTGACATTTTTTCTCAGCCCTCGTTTAGTTATGTATGGTATAAACGATTTTTTTATGCTTTCAATGCACACTTATCACCAGCACAGTGACTTGGGGTCACATATACCCATTACCATCGGATTCGGCGTGAAAAATAAGCCATAAAACATGTGTCGCACGCCCATGTAGCAGAAAGTGAAAACCGTGACCTTTCGTGACCTGACCTGACCTTGACCCGTACTTAGTATGACCCCTATACGCACATGGTACCTTCACTAGGCCTTTGAGGTCATTTTTGGTGAGTTTCGAGCAGCAGCTATCGATTCCGCTGTCCGTAAGCCTAATCATGCAAAACCCCAGAATTTGACCTTTGACCTGACCTTGACCCGAAAGTTGACCTCAATCTTAAAATCTTAAGAGTGCTTTGGGAAGGTCTCGTAGAGACCTTTCGAACGCCGCCTCGCGAGGCTCGATGCGACCATTGGTTCTCGAGATAACAGGGGGGGTCGGATCCGACCCCCCCCCCCCCCCAGGCTGTCGTGGGTACGGAAATAGCCCAGGCGGTGCCGGGTTAAAAAAATACCCCGGCCCGTTCTAGGCCATTTCTAAGTGAATGCTAAAAATTTGCCGCCGTTTGTCGAGCTAGCAAATGGAGGATGTCGGATACGTCACCGTAACCGCTCGAAACATATCGAAACTCATCATTAAGTCCTGCTGGCTGGGATCCTAAACGAGACACCATGTCAATGCGTTGGCGTCCCCCTGTCACATCAGTTCGTCAGCATTTGATAGATGGATATTGGATGATGTTGAGGAGGTCCAGTAAGCACTTCCCTGATATCAAAGCAGAATTTCCAGCAGATGATGGGTAAATCATTGACCACTACTCCAGTTTTTACTTTACTGAGCAAACAATCAGCGAAGCTGACCGAAACTCATTAAATCAACTGGACGTCAGCACGCATTCATTGACCTCTTTGCTCCCTTCACGCTCCTATCCAAGGAAGCAATTTCTCATCGCTTAGTCGTCAGGGAGCGGCATACCTTCTATACAGCGCCCGCCACAGCCTCAGACGGTAGTAACCTCGCGCTAATCGTTAGGGAGAGTGCCGATCACAGCCTTTGACCGGGTCTCACGGTGTCGATAGGGGTCGCCCGGGGGTGTAATATCCGGTGGAGCCTACAAAAGGAGACTAACAGAGCGGCGACCCAGGTCAAACACAGCTGCCACAGCGACCCGGCGGGACTGGCTGCACACTGCACAGACCCAGAGTGGTTGACCCGGGCAGACCCAATGACTGACCCGAACTGACCCAGTGGCTGACCCAGTGACTGACCAAATGACTGATGCGAACTGACCTGACAGACCCGAACTGACCTGACTGACCCGAACTGACCTCCTGACTGACCCGAACTGATCCAGTGACTGACCCAGCTGGCCCAGTGGCTGACCGTAAGTGACCAAAACTGACCCAATGACTGGCCCGAAGTGACCTAGTGACTGACCCCAACTGACCCAATCATCGACCCGAACTGACCGGCAAAGCTTAAGTGGGTGGGAGCCGAAGGTGGGTAGAAGTCGAAAGGTAGGAGTCGGAACAGCCGCACTGTGGGTAAGAGCCGTATGTGGGTAGGTATCGGAACAGTCACGCCGGAGCGCCCGCAGAACAAAGCCGGTCGAACGGCGGAACGCACGCTCGCGGAAGCATCCGCTATAAATTCATCGCATACGATCTGATAATGAAATAGACAGCCTCGGATACTAGCATCGCTCCGTCGCCTCTCCGCGGCACAATTTGCACGGCGCGCCGCTCTCGTCATTACACGGCTCGGCTCTCTCGGTGCCGGCTCTGGCCGTCGACGCCGCGTGTATCTTTGTCTCGGCTCGGGGCGCGATGCGTCGAACGTCGCATTCGGCGCACTAACGAGGGCTGCTGATCCAATCAGGCCGCCGCAGACTGGCATTACACGGCGCGGGCCGACGGCGGTCGGCGGCGCCCTATCGACAGCTGACGCCGGCGCCCCGTGACACCGGTGGTTGACCCGGCGCCCCGTGACCCGGCGCCCCCGGTCGGCGCCCCGTGACACCGGTGTTTGACACGGCACCCCCACTCGGCGCCCCGTGACCCGGCGCGCCCGGCCGGCGCCCATATATCACGGCGCCCGGCGACACTCGTGCCGACAGCTGCTGACCGTCGACGTCATGGAACAATGACGAATGGCCGGCCGGGCCCACCGAGCCGAGCGCGATCTATTGTCGCTCGGTCGTGTAATTGGTTAGCTCTGAACCGGGCTGCTCCTGTCATGGCTGGGACCTGTTAACGTCCCATTGAACAAATCGGAAACAGAACTATTAATTTGTCAAAACAGACAGCGTATCGGTTCCTGTCCAGAAATCTGTACCACAAGCCCGAGCTATGAACCTAAAATTCACAGCACTGTCACCAGTTCACCTCATGTAGCTAACTTTCGACATTACTGGAGCATGAAGGAGGTGACATAAAGACAAGAGGATGCACAATGGCGATAATTAGTTACTCACCAAGCTGCCAATGTGCACAGGGTCCTTCCCAGCAGGGTTTTGAGTCGGCAGGCCGGTGGTTCAGGTCACATCGGCTCGGCTCAGGGCAGCTGACCTGTCGGGTGACCTTTCCAGCGCCACAGGAGACCGAGCAGGGCGCCCAGGAGGCCACCTGCCACTCCAGGCACGGCTGAGAAAGGCACCAAACACAGGGGTGTCGGCTGGACGCACGGGAAAGTACCCCGTGGGGAATCGGCGTGGCGTCACAGTGGAAGAAATGAGCTGGGGCGAGGGAGACAGTCGAATGCTCTGGAGCAGGACGCAGCTCTGAAATGAACAGTGGCTAAAATAAAATGGTCGTTAGAGGGACCGCAAAAAAATGCGAGATTTCCTTCAGTTTGTTTTGCAGTCTGTTCCCTGGAAATCACTAGACAGTGGGTATACAGGGTGTCCGGATAGTTCTGGCGCTTTTCAACATTTTCTAAAACAAATGCCATTGGTTCATAGATACTAATCAATGGATCAAAACAATGACCAGGGACACCAAGCCACATGCTTCCGCTACGTGCTCATTCAATGTAACCATCGCCGGCGCCGACGACGGCCTCGACGTAGGGGAGGAAGCGTCTGCGGGTTTTGACGATGCGGGGCATTTCCAGGTCCTCCCATGCTGTCATGATGCGAGTCTTCAGCGACTCCAGGTTGGGGTGAGAAATGGCCTAGATCCTGTTCTACAAAACGCGTAGCACGCCTTAGTCGAGCGGGTCAGGTTAGGAGAATAAGGCGGCCTGATCTCATTTCGCCACGGTGATCTGGCCCGGCAAGCTCCTCTGTCAGTTTAGCTTGAATGGCAGCGGCGTTGTTGGAGGGTGCTCTGTGCTGTTGAAATGCGAAGTGACCCTTAGGGCATGTCGTCTTGACCCTTGGGTTGATGTGGCTGTCCAGGAACCCCTCGTGGGCCAGCCTGTTATTCATTTATTCGACATTGACGAAGATGATGGGACATTTTTGTCCATCAGACCCCCGCACTTTCTTCGATTGCCGCGCTGAAATGCTGCTCCGTTCCCATATCGCGTTCGAAACGGTCTGAGGATATTTTCTAAGGAATTCCCGAGTCGAAATAAACCTTTACCTGCTAAACCATTCATCGAAAAACGCCGCATCGCGCTGCAGCTCGAGTCTCGTTCAAGTCGCACCCGGCCGCCGCGCGCAGGCATTCAGCGACAAGGCGCATCTTCGCCCATCTACCCATCACTGAAAACGATTTCAAGGTCATATTTACACGACCTCTGGCTGAGCAATCAACGAGGGGTCATGTCTGTGATGATTGGCTGAATGTCCAATAATCACAGCGCGCGTTACACGGCGTCCAAAAGAAGCGCCAGGACTTTCCGGACACCCTGTACCTCAAGGTAATTTTTATTCAACGAAACAATGCCTCCGGATAGTCTCGCCTACCCCAGTCAGGTGCATTTTACAGAAAGAGCCAACTTTGTAATGAATGCAAGGAGATTAAATCGGGGAGCAGTCACCAGCCGAACTCAACAAGACAAGCTTCGTCTAAGTTTGTTCCGGTTCGCAATACTTCGATCACAGAGTTTAAAAAAGAGAATCACTGCTTCTGAGAAATCTCTGACAGCCATCGAAGAAATGCTAAACCGGCTCACGTATCTGGGCGGTTATTAACATTTTTCGAAAGCAGCTTCAAACAAGACAAAAAAGTAAAAAAAAAACACGTCCCACGTCATTATTTAGTTTACATTTTCCTCAGATAACTTAAGTGATTCAAGCGACTCCGACCTTTGAGCTGGAGGTGGTGAGTTTACCTGTGTACATTCTGCGTACATGTCTGGAATGGGAAGAGAGCACCGGGACAGCTCGACGCTGGTCTTGTGTGCGGCGTCGACGCACTGAACCGTTCGACTCTTCTGGCCCGCTCCGCACACCGAATTACACTGGAACGAAAACGGAACTGGTCAAGGCTAAGTGGCTGCAGCTATGGTATTTATACATTTGTATTATTGCCAGTTGTAATATACGTAACTCGTGCACAAAGACACATGAAATGTCACATCAATATACAACTGTTAAAATAACATGTTTTTTATCGGACGAGCGTGGGAATCAAGCAATGTTAGGAACATAATGGGTAGAAGTGAACGCCGAATTAAACCTTTTGACAGTTGTGCCATCTTTTGCCAGTTATAACCAATAGGTTTTGTGTGGTGTTCATATGACACTACAAGCTATTCAGCAAGCTCGGGTACCCCCGCTGCACAATTCTCTCCCAGGGAACGAATTCCAGCAGTGCCGCGCCGAACCTGCACGTCAGCGCACCTCAGCCTGTGGCACGCCCGCGACACAGCGATTCGATTAGTGGCCCTGCTGTCTGCCGGCTGCCTTTGTATCGCCTGCAGCTATTGGCACAGCAACACGCGCTTTTACCGGTACCCATTCCGCCCCGAGCACCAGCGAGCCGGGAGTGGGTGACTGGGCGACTATACCAAGCTCTGATGGAAGCGGCGGAGCTGCGTCCACCTATCGCGGCCTCGGCGCCGGTATTTGTTCCGTCAGAGTGTTTTGGAGGTCGCCAAACAGCGCGTCTTCGATCGCCGGTCGTGTCGCATTAGCGTTCTCCAGTCACAACAGGCCAGAAGTCTCTGATCCTCGATGGCGGGCGGATCGGAGCGGCAGACATCTCTCATCAGCGAGCGCCGAGGAATGCTTTTGTTCTGTGCGAGTATTGCCGCTGAGGAATCTGATCCGTTTCAAGTGGGTTTTAATATATCAGACTAGCCTTACATTGTGCATTGTGAAAATTGCAGAAGATCAATGGCTAAAATTATGAATATAATCAAGCGCAAAAGAGCTTCCATTGACGTTAAACATTTTTGACGAAATTTGAGATGCTCTGTACCTGGGCTCATCTCCTAGCCTGTAGGTGAACCTCAGCCCGTGATGTTACATTATTGCACGGCACTTAGTAAGATTCGGCCCATGATTCAGAATAGATAAGAGTAGGCATTTAAAAGCAGCGCCTCAGTCTCGGAGTAGATGGGTACGACCAAGGTACGACCATCTCAGCCGGCCGCTGCCGTACAGTCATCACTCAGTTAGTCGTTTTGAATAACGTCTCCAAAGTCATATAAGCATTTTTGCGAAGCTGTGACTTGTCACCTTTCGCTTGGTCTTCACTTCATCCCTCCATCCATCCTAAATACTACCTGTCCCTCCCACTCCTCACCATTCCCTGCACTCTCTCCCCTCTCCACCCTCTCTCACCCCTCGTCCCTCTGCCCTCTCCTCACCTCTCCCCAGTCTCCGAGGCGCCACGTGTAGTTGCCCGGCGGCCCCCCGTCCAGCGGCCCGGTCGGCAGGGCGTTCTGCAAGCGCGCCATCAGCCGCGCGGCGTCCCGGCCGCGGTGCGCCGAGACTGCCGGCGGCGCCTCCTCCTCGGCCGTCTCCTCGCTGTCGATCTCGTCACGCTCCAGCAGGGTGAGAGAGGGCGCGTCGCGGGCGGCGCCGTGCGGCCGCCGCCGTTTGTGGTGGAACCGGTGCCGTCTCCGACACCGCGCAGCGCTGCACGAGTGACTGGAGGACGGTTTGCGCGCGGCACCGCAGCCGTCCGGTACCGGGCACCAGACGAGCCGCGTGCGGCGGCACGAGTCACCGCCCGAGCACTTCTGTAATCATGACACGGGACACGGAGGCACGGAATTAACGGCGGCACGGACCGGGAGACACGGGGTCAGAGGCGGCGCGGACCGTGAGACACGGGGTCAGAGGCGGCTAAACCGGTGGAAGTCAAATTGAGACAGACTCACAGCTCACAGCTCAAACATTTGAGCTTCACTCAAACCTCAACTGTTTTTAAATTAGTTACCTATATGCGAAGTTGATTTAACTTGAAAGTTGACAAACATGATGAAATGAGTCGAAACGTATATATGATGGGCATTAGTCCCATTGTGACATATGGCACATTTGCAGTTGTCGAGATGCCACATATCATCATTTTGCTGCATTTCCAAGAACAATATATCTCCGAACGACCACGAACACAGCAAATATGTTTCGACAGCCTTTTATTGCTGGCAGTGAGGGCTTGGAATCCAGTGGGGAGCATAGCATTTCCTTGCGGGATATTGTTTTCACAGAAAATTAATGAGATCGATGCATTCAATATGTGGTGCGGCATATGTAAAACTATCTTCAATCCGAAATGGCATTAAACGTCGGCTGAATATATTGCAAACTTATACCATAGATGACATAATACAATCTCATCCATGCTTATACTAAAATGAATAAATGTGTACCCTCAATAAAAAGAAGGTGATCCTGCTATCAGCACTATCCCGTAATAACACTCCATATAAAAATAATTGATACGATATTGTTGATATATAGTTGGCTGGTCCTATTCACCTAAAAACAGAATACACGACGCCAGTTCGAGTCGTTATCCCACAGAAGGTGCCGCGGCATTTGGATTACAGAAACCAAAAGAAACTCATTCTTTTGCAACCAAACAAACAGCCATTCCGAAAACATACATCACAGCACCCTTATACAGTCATTCTCTCCGCCTTCTGTCTTTCATCTCCCGCTCGTTTCGTTTGATCTCCCGTCCGTCTCCGGAGCAGACAAACGCATCACGGAAGAGCGGGCCGTGGCCGGTCGTGACGGACAGACGGTAATCTAATCCAGGCCGCGCGCCGCGCCCGGCAGCGCGGTAAATCAGCTCGATCAGCAGACCTCACGTCCGATGCTACCCCCGCCGACCGGACAGGTCATGGAGCATACATGGAACAAATAGGCGCCGATATCCATGATGTTTTATTGGGATGAAAACCTGGTATAACATATATTTTGCTACTACTTGCATATTTTCAATATAAAAATAAGCTTTCATGTACTTAACGAAGTGAGTTGGACCGTTTAGCTTTGGTGGCCAGCACGATTTAATGATATACTAGCATATAATAAGTTAACTCGTATAAAGCATATCTTAATAAGTTTAAATACGACGTAGTTATATTAGGTACATGAATGTAAAAATGGTGGCATGCATCTCGATCAACGCATTCTCATTATATGAGCGAGTCTTTTCCTACAAATGCTGCAGGACCGTGCGATATTTATAAGAAAAAAGTCGGTTGAAGCGACCGGCAGTTTGTGAATGGTCCTGCCATAATGGCGCGTTCCCAAGCCACCAAAACGGTCGACCCGCGGAACATAATCCGAATGCTCAGTTTTTTTTTTTTCGTGACCATTCAGACTGATAGCAATAAAAATGGTTGGGGAATAAAGATACGAATGGTAAGAGGGAAACCCAACTGAAAAGGGCGTACTTTAAAGAGCAGAATCAAAAATTGTATTAGCACGCACCCACTCAGCTTTCCTAGCAATGTAAGAGCCTTTCATGTTATACTGCACCGCAGAACACCAAAGCACTGCGGCACAGCATACACCCCAGTGAAACCGCCGCGGTTGTGGCCGTCAGAAGCGGGTTCAAGTCCGAGTGGAATGGAACTCTGATCGCAACACATTGATTACCTCGGTATTTTAGCCTCAACTATAGCTAATTATGCTGAAAACCGAGCTCCCGGCGCTGACAATGCGGATTCGAAACGCATCAGCGATCGACCTATGAGCGCTGATAACTAACGACAGAGATGGTATGTAGTTGGAGTCAGTGGTCACAGTTATCTACTACTATTCGTAAGTTTGTCGGTAAAGCGGTTTGATTTTAACTATGCTAGGCTCGGTTTACTTTACCTTACACATTTATTAAGCAATCATAATCTCATTTCTAATCCGGGTGGATACTGCTCGGCAATTCAGGAGCAACAGGTTCTGATAAGTAACCATTCAGGACGTCATTTAAGATATAATATCATGAAGGTGGCTCCGGACTCCCTGCTACCATTCACCTTTTCCGGCGCGCATTTTCAACTCCTCGCATTTTCAACTCATCACATGCATTCATATCTAGGATATCGGCTAGTCTGGACCATGGCCACTGGCCAGTTTCTCTTTTTACTTCTGCCGGCCAAGCATCTCACCATGCAACATCATCTGCCGACATCATCCATCTACCCCGTCCGCACCGCGTCCGTTCGTCCCCGAATCGCTGCGTCATTTGACCACCGGTCTGTCATTTCTGCGGCCATCTCAGCTCTGCGTGCTGTCCGGTCATCACTCACCTCCCTCCAGGGGCCGGTTTTCCACAGACAGTCGGCTGGCTCCTTCCTGCACGCCTCCTGGTCGCCGGGCCGCTCTCCCGGGTCGCACTCGTCGTTGCTGAGCGCTGTTGTTACTCCTTTGCCGGAGCGGACGCAGTGTACGGAGCGAGTGCGGTTCCCAGTGAGGCCGCACTCTGCCGGGCACGGCGACCACGGGCCCGTCCACCACCTGTGTGTGGGGGTACAGAGAACAGGTCAGGTCCCAGGGCGCAGTGAAGGGTCAGAGGGACAAGGGCACAAATAATGAGTTTCCAGGGCACAGTGCACGGCCAGAGGGCCCAGGGCGCAGGGCAGAGTCAGTTGTTGGGGCGCTTTAATAGCTAAGCGGTTAACGCGTCAGACGCCCCCACCGGAATAAGTGTTGATCGATCAACCATTACCTAGACCCAACTTCCTGCCAGTTCAGTTGTGATGTGAATTACAAAACCCAACAGGCTCTACGTCGATCAAAAGTATTTTCAATATCCACCTCTTACTTCATTATTATTTTTTTTTTTAATTACCATCAGCGTTTCAACAGAGTCCAAACTCCTTCATCCTACTAACACACCGGTATGTGGTCGGGGAATCTCTTGACAATGGGCTCGCCCACAGAGACACACATCTGCTTGTGGGTGGCAAACCACCCCAAGCTGCCTTATCACCACCCGTGCATTTCGACAGCTGCCGCTTATGAGCGGCCTGAGGCACCTTCCGGCGGTAGGAAAATTACGGCTGCTCCACACGGTAAACAGTCTCGGATTCCGCACCGAAGCCAGGGGCGCAAATCATCCAGAGATTCACAAAAATGAGCCAAAGCATTACCGTCCAACATTGTTATGCCGGAGGTGTAGGAAAATGGAAACGGTTTTTTATTATTTTATTATTATTATTTATTATTTATTATTTTTATTATTATTATTTTATTATTTATTATTTTATGATTATTTTTTCCTCAAATCGGACGATATACTCAATGTTCATTAATGAGTAGCTCCTATAACAACACGCTAAAAGAAACCAAACGTTAAAGTAAGCGTAGTTAGAACAGATCTTACCAAGGTAACTGGTAACTGCAGCTGAACTGACCTGGCCGGACAGTCGTGCTCGTTGCAGGCCTGGACGCGGTCGGGCGGCTTCTCCGATTTGCAGTAGATGTCCTCAACCCTGCCAGCCTCGTCCTCCATACACGCCGCCGAGGACCTCTGCCAAACGGAGCACAACGCGTCAAATAGCGAACGCTGTGTCCAATACAAGTACTATTTAGAGCCATTTCCTCCATACATGCCGCAGAAGACCTCCACGAAACGCCGCACAACGACAGCGAGCGCGGTGTCCAATGCCAAATCGAAATACGTAACACCTCCAGAGCTAACAGTAGGACACGCACCTAAAAACAGCTCGGCCATTACAAATAATCTGTCCAGTATTGTCACATGATAGTGAAAATTGTCACCCTATACCCAGACCGCCAGCCGTCTCCATCGTTCGACTGACCTGCTGTCCGCCGCCGCACGGTTTGGAGCACTCCTCCCAGTCCTGGTACCTCCAGGAGAACACCTGTGCGTCGGCGCCCTCATGTCCCGGTACCGTGTACTCGTACCGCACCCGAGTCACGCTCCCCTGCAGCAGTACCTGGCCGACCGGTACACCGGGACGTCAGGACTGGTGTGCCGTCAAAGCTATAGTAATGTGGGATACAATGTGACGTCGCAGGCAGGAGGGGAAAACGTTAACACCATACAGCCATCAACCCTGCAACGTGGTTGAAACAGCAAGGTTTGTAATTATGTGCAATATGCATCATACCTACACATGAAGCGACCCGGTACGGTACGGTATGGGCGGACAAGTGACATTCGATATCAGGCAACCCAATTTAAACCGTATTCATGATTTTCAACGCCATTGAATAGCGCAGAGCTTAAGTCACACGATTGGTTGGTAAGAGCTATGCAAAGACAATACAAAAGACAATTTTTGTGTTCCGTTCCACGATGGTTTTTATATGTGAAAGACTTCTATGGGACTTCTATGGGACACGTCGATAACTGATCACAGATTCATGCATTACTTCTTCTGCTCTGAGACCAAATTAACGTGCCTATTAAAAGTTTGAAAATGATAAGCTTCGAAGCACACGCTGAGCCTCCAAAGCCAGTGAAAATTGTGTTACTAATACGTCTAACAAAGCGAAGTAATCACGAAATCATCCCAACGCAAAATACGTCACATCAGACATGGGAGGGCGAAAATCCGGCTTTGAGGCTTTACGGAATTACCAGCGAAATTGCACCAAGGAATGCCTTCCCCCGAAACGGCGTTAGAAATGGGCTCTAATAAACGCTTTAGAATACATCAGATGTAATAAACGTCGGTAACAGCCTGCCCTAGGCCTTGGACTCCACGTGTAGACTCCCCGATTATCATATAACCCTGTAAGTCGTACCTTTTGATGTCAGCAAGCGGTCAAGGATCATCAGCCGACATTATGGCCTCTCCTCATAATCATAAATGATACACCATAGCACATTATCTGACAAATATGATACAATTATTGTACAAGCGAGACTAGTCCTCTGTTGACACTATTAGACCCACGTCCCGCTGAAGACTCACTCAGGGGCGCTTACCTTCAGCACCAGTGGTGATTTGAGAGGGCCCGGTATGGTGATTGTCTCGTTCTGTTCCTCTCTGGAGTAGAGGAGAGCCGAGCCAGCCACCGGATACTCACCGCTCCACTGAATCAGACTGCAACGATAAAGCGCAAACAGGCTGCAAAACACCGGCATCGTGCGACAAAGCAAACAATTCAACGGCGGGTGACGACTGACGCACGAATAGCTTATTGCATTCAGACGCAAAACGCTTCTCGGGTTCTTATTTCTGATAAAGGCTTTATTTTGTTGGATAAAATGTTGTGAAGTAGCTGGGAAGAATACACATTAAACCAAAACTAAGTAAGCGAAAATCGCGTTGACACCTTTTGCTTTCCGTGGTGTCACATTTTATAGCGCATGCATTAGTCACTGTGTTTTTTGGGAAAACAAATACCGGCAAAACAAATGTTAGCTACATCATGCCAGACAGCCAGGCTCAGTTCTACCAGCTCTACCAGCTCTACCTCTACCTACCCTTTAAACCGACCCAGCAACTGCATTGCGCCGCCCGGAAATCAATGTAGTCACCTCGCCCGTTTTCTGTGTGACCTCCGTCTGATGGCCCGCCAGAATGGACCCGAACCTTGTTTGACTTACGGCTGTGTCAATGACAAGTTTGCCAAATTTGGCGCGACTTTCACGCGGGCGAGTCGGGCCATGTTTACAATACGGAGCGGCTGTACGAGTGGGCGGCAGTATCAGCGTCGCTAAGCCTATCCCGCCACTATGGGCGCGCGGCTCATCCATCAGGGCTGCTTTTTGGCGTCTGAGGGCCGCCATGATCACCCGGATGTGAGCCGGGAGAGGCGAGGTGGCGACGGAGGATGGATCGGTGGGCCATGGAATTGGTGTTGGAGCACGAGCGAAAGGGCTCTTACATAGCTGGGGTATGGTAGCACCAAATGTTCAATATCGCAATGGATTAATGTAACTAATAAAGCAATCAAAGCAATTTCATTTCATAATCCTTCATGCCATCTACAAAAACAGACTTAATTAGTGACGTTGCTAAATGCGATGGCAAACGCGCCAACTTTGATTGGTAGCTTAAAACATAATCAATACCACATAAGATATACTTTACATCACTGAAAGCTTTATTTTACGATTGCATGTTGATTTAAAGATGACGCCGCTCCGCTATTTAATACAGCCGCTAAGCGGTGGCGGCTGTTTTTCTAGAATCGACGGATCGTCAGCACGCCTGCTGTAATTCAGAGAAGGCTGTTTTCAGTCATCGATAATAATAGGATACCAATGCACCACAGACGCCTTTAAAGGCGCTTTATTCTCCAGTTTAAGAGCCATTCGTCCGACCAAATCACATCGTGTCATAAGCCGCTGTCTATATTATCAAACGATAAACAATGCTCCACAACAGGGAGCAGCGTCGAGGTCATAGGGTCCATCGACACATCCAGGTGTCTTCAGAGCAGATGGCATTCGTTCCATACCACGAAACAACAAAAACACCAACAGTAAAAGGCAGCCATTGCCTTCAATTTAGCGCCATATCTGTGAGAAACCCTTTATGACGAGTGCCTGTTAAATCCTGCTGTAAATCCAAGCCATCAAACTCAAATCCCTGAACAGCTTTGATCGACACAAAATGGTCTTACCCAAAAGGATCTAAAGACTCGATTCTGGACACAAAGGAATCAAATACCGAGTGAGTGGGTCGTTCGTGACGTGAATTCCAAATATCAGATACAAATTCGTATCGCAAGCAAAGCTTACTTCGAAATACGTAATCTACTCAGCACTTTATCTTCTGCTACTAGCAATATGCAATGGCATGTTCCACGACGTGTTAATGTTGGGTTTCGTTACGTTAGGTTAGGTTAGGTAGGGATGGGTTCTTCACTTACATAAGTAAGCGCAGAGACTTAGGACTCACCCATTAGCGTTCAGTTCCCCTGGCTGGTCAGCGGTGCCCTCCTCAGCGTCCATCTCGCCACCCGTGCCGGTGTCACTGTCGCTGGCTCTGACGGTGCCGCTGACGGAAAGGAAGCTGCCCAGACCGGTACCCGCCAACTCCTCCATTCGAATATTTCGCGCCCCGACCGGCACGGCTGCCACCACGAAATAACCTGTGAAAATGGCGGACCGTTTTTCACGGCATTGAAAACATTAGTGAGGGTTACCACAGCGTTCGCTTAATTTCTTCCGTTACATTACAGTATTTATAACTTCAAATACTCGAGCCTTTCTGTTCTTAACACAAAGGAATCAACTACCAAGAGAGTGGGTCATTCGTAAGTGGGTCGGTCGAGCAATAACATTTATAGCTACGATACTCTGGCCTTCTTATATTTGATTTTATAATTGAATGAGTCATGAGTGCAAACTGCAAAGTAATATTTATATTAAGCGAAGTGTGAGAAAGACTATCACTTACAAAAAAAGCCAATGTGAGAAAATACTACTTTCCGAAACAAAAACAGCTTTTCATCCACCATGTTTGGTGCAGACTTTAATGACTTCGACCAAAGTTCGACCCTAAGCGTGCTTTGTCGGTCTGTTGACCATTCTACTATCATCACTCGCTGACATCGAAATTCGAAGCGGCGGGAAACTTCCTGCGTTGACTGCACTGTGTGCCATCTGAGCGTGTTTGTCTGCTCACCGTTGGTCGGCTGGTCGATCGTGAACGTATCACGAACCGTGTGACATAGGCTGCCGTTGCCGTGACATACGCCGCAGCGGTCGGCGCGAGCGTCCGAATCCAACACACCGTCACAGCCGATCACCTGCGCGACAGGGACGATAGACCGTCAGCAGGCGATCGAGACTGAGATTTTTGTTTTGTTTGTTTTGTTGGGTTGGGCCCTTTCGGTCGACAAGACCATTGCAGAGCCGGAAGGATGATAGGAATTAGGGGTAGACATTGGTCTGGGCAGGCACCCTAGTGAATCACCGGGGCTGAGCCCGTCCAGAGGACAGGCCACCCAGCCCCAAGGCACTCACTGCACCCGGCTACGGGGTGCGCTCCCTCGGGAGCAGCGGTGCCGCTCCAAGGGAGCAGCCCGCATGAGATAAAGTTGCCTGTCCAGCCCGGAAGGTGGTTACGGCGTGGAGGAGATGGATTTCTGTATCCTGAGGATAGAAGCACGGATAGGTGGAGACTGAGAGACTGCGAATCTGAGTCAGTCTGACAGATGCTGGTCGTCTGAGGCAGTGTGCAGCTAGAGACTAGTAACGTCGGTCAGTCTGACAGATACTGCCAGCATAACAGCCCGCAGAGATCCCGGACATTTATACTGTGTCCTGTGTGATTTGCTCGAATGCTATCGGTAAACAAGGATTTAAAAGTTTTCTTTTCTGGCTCTCGTCGAACATCCGTGTTCGACTCCTGCATTTACTGTCGAAATCCTTGTTCTCTGAATTGTTGTTTGAAATGGAATCATCAGTTACTTTTTTTCTAAAGAACCCATCAAAATTCAATTGAACTGGCAGTAGTAACAATAAAACGAGCTGAGATTGAAGCTCTCACAAAAACATCTCCAACGAAACTATAGTGTGGAGGGTTATCTTAATTGCGTAGTGTCCTTTGTATTTTTATTGAAGCTGGCTGACAACAGAACTCCATAACTTAAAAAGCGAAACCTTGGCAACGATTTCGAGACAATGAAAATTGAAGGTTTTTGGTACAAAGCTGTGCTGTCATGTAAATACCGAATATCGTCAATGCCTGCTTATTTCACAGGTCCTATTCCAGTAAGCCCCATATTCCGACCGATCATAAGCGAGGTTACCCCACAGACAGACAGACGGAGACGTACCCGGCATTTTCCGTTGATGCAGACGTCGGCGCTGCGCTGACACGGCGTTCCATCCACCACCGTGTCAGATAGGACGGCCGTGAAGTGGTGGCCCACAGGCTGACACATCAGCTGACACGGCAGCGCTATGGACACGGCACAGTGGTGTGAGCTGACAGGAATGGTCAGTGTAGGACTGTGGGTACGACACAGTGGTGTGAACTCACAGGAATGGTCAGTGTAGGACTGTGGGTACGACACAGTGGTGCGAGCTGACAGGAATGGTCAGTGCAAAGCTGTGGGTACGACACAGTGGTATCAACTCACAGGAATGGTCAGTGCAAAACTGTGGGTACGGCGCAGTCATGTGAACTCACGTGCAGTACTGTAGGCAAGGCACAGTGATGTGAGCTCGCGGTGCTGAATGGTCACGGTCTCAATCTGCACAGTCTCAGTGACGGGACACTCACAGTAACACAAACAGTCACATCGGAGTGACGCCAGATTGACATGTGTTTCACATGACATGCTGACGGGACAAAGCTACAAAGTAACCTCACAAGGCAGGGTAAAAGACGATAGAGTATTTATATTGTTCCATTTTGGCACCAAATACTCGTCACCTCAGACGGGTAGAAAGAATGAAAAGTTGGTGGAAAAGAACGCACCTGTATGTTCGTGAAACAAAGCAATAACAAGTCCAATTTTGAAACATCGTTTATTTCCAGAATGTCGAGTTTACTCTTGACACACCAAACAGGAAGTCATAAGCCACGCTGCAACAAAAGAAGAGGAGCTTCGGCTTGTGTAAGCTTATTAAATGGACACAAATGTTACAGCGCACACTAGCGCTCTAGCACATACAGCGCTGTCTGAAACGGCTCCAGTCCTCACTGCAATTGAATATCACCACACCGGTATTTATTGACTAATTTACCGCTCAATAAGGGATAAGATTCTCACTATTCCAGCGATGTTTACGAAAACAAGAGGCTAAAAGGAGATGCCGAGCCAAGGGCTTGCATTTTAAGTGTCAATTGTCTCTCCCTATTTCCTTCCACTAGACACAAATGGTCTATCGTATCGGATCCGCCTAACACCAATAGAAGTGTACTTAAGGAAATCATTTTACACACCTGCATTAGTCTAATACAGTGTTATCCATTCCGGCAAATTGTTCCGAAAGTTTCAAATGAGCCGATTGCCAAGGTCACAGCCCGCACCAAGCAGAGTGTTTTTGCACAATCCCGGAGCTCCAACGCCCTAAGGAAAAAAATCGAGTGTCCCGGAGAGTTTGGAAGCCAAAGTTATCCCGCGTACTTTGTTCGTCGTCTTTCAATTCCCTCCCTATACCTCCCGAGAAGTTCATCTGGCTGTGCTGAGTTTATATACATCCAGTCCTATGTTAGAACGTCTTCGTGTGAAGTTACTTACACTCGGTCTGATCTTAAAGCGTGTCCAAGTTTACTCCCTCGCACTCGGTGCCAGGTTGAAATATCTCAGAGTTTACACACTCACACTGAGGGTTAAAGCATCTCAGAGTTTACACACATTGCGTGGTTGCAGTACCTCCTAGTTTCCACACTCACTTTGGTCGTAGACGGGCATCCAGGTGTAATTACGGCCCTGGTAGGGCACCGTGTCGAACGCCGAGCACTGCTGGGCGCGGAACGACGCCCCCTCCTCAGAGCAGGGCTGTGGACAACAGGACGTCACCGTACCGTACCGTATGCCAAGCCCCGCATATTGCACCGTCAGAAATTAGCGCAATTGCCATTTGGGGTACCAAGGTGACAGGAAATCTGAACTTCGTGGTCATGAGGCTTGGATTTGAAATTCATCAGAACGATCAGCAAGGCGGAAGGGAGCCAATCATAACTGTGTGCTAGATCGGGACTTCCCAATGAAAAATAGAATAGCAGATTATGTATAGCATAGAGCAGACAAGGTTACAAGCTGTTCGCATTCTGATGAGCTAGCTTTTCTCATTGTCACAAACATTATATAAAGCTAGAATATACGGGGGGCCGCTGGCTATGCACCCACCTCAGTGGCACAGGTGCGGTAGCGCCGCCTCTCGCCGACGCAGTACTTTCCGCCGTTGGCGGGCACGGGTCGGTCGCAGTGGCGGGTGGAGCTCTGCAGGCCGGTTCCACAGGTCCGGCTGCAGGCGCTCCACTCCCCCCAGCCGCCCCAGCCGCCGTCCACGGCTCGCGGCCGGCTCTGCATCTCCACACACTCACCGGCTGAGCACCACTGAGATACAGGGACACAGTACAGTCACCACAGCGAGCACCACTGAGATACAGGGACACAGTACAGTCACCACACCGAGAACCAAGGTCGGCTCTGCATCTCCACACACTCACCGGCCGAACACCACTGCCAGCGGGGATACAGATGAGAAGAGATATAATAGACAAAATAAATAACAATAAAGATGAAACGCATTTGATTTCTACACGGTACCGTCAAATCCTCTGATCTCAGAAATTCGCTCTGCAAGTGATATGATTTCAATACTCAAAATTAAAAGTGTGTCGAATGCAGCAGAGGAAGTCTCAGAAAGTGGCATTACAAAAGTCAAAACAGGCATTGCAAAAGACGTTACAATCAAGACAATATATTTCATAAATACCCTTTGATCAATACATTTCGTGCATCTGTCATGCCTAAATTCAAACTGCCCCCTTCCCTTGTCGGGCAACTACAAACACGGTGGAGTAGCAGGGTTTTGCTACGAAATGGTAAGTTGATGACTACACTATTTCAGGGCTCAACGCTCCCGGATCCGTTCGCTATAGTGTTCTGGTAAATCCCATTAAAATGCAATTAGAGCCAGATGAGCGTTCATAGATTCCGCTGGATTTCAATAGTTCACATAACTAGTTCACCGTTGCACATTATCCGCAAAATGACTGTGAAAACAGAGTCGCATAAAGCATCACCACTGCTTCACTAAAACGCATCATAAGACACAGGGGCATTGCCTATAGAGCAGTTTATTGGTGGGGATTTAATTAGTGGTCGATTTTAGCATTAAACTCTTGTTTCCTACAAGGCGTGTCATAGAGCTTATGTCGAATAAAAATTGCTCGCAGATCTCGATCGAAACCAAGCCGCCGTCGTTGGCTTATATTGAGAGGTGTCCAATTGTCCTATCGCACCAGGAACCTGTTGAATAACCACTCACTTCCCTACCACCAGTGAGATCAATCATCAAGCCGCCTCCTCAGACCCCTCCCCGCTGTGCTCTCCACTAACCGTGACGGCGTCTGGTGCCTCTGGGCTGGTGCAGCTGGTGCCCTCGGCAGCTGGCTCCAGTTTGGTGACACAGCGGCCGTCCACGCTGCACCAGAGCGTCTCACAGACGTTCCCCATTTGACAGTGAGAGGCGGCAGGTCCGTACAGCAGCTTACACTGGTGGTCTGCGTCATACAGCATCCCCGGCGGCTCCTAGCGGGCGGGCGGCCGGGGGACAGGGTTAGAGAGAAGCAGAAAATGGCCAGGGGCACAATGTCATGAAAAGTGGGCTTATGGTTGCTTTTCGTTCCTCTATAGGCACATTTAGATCATGTCACTGATCATCGGCACATGTAATCCAGAACTGTCGATATAACAAAAGTATAGTTGCTCTCCAGCCAAACGGCATTGTTTACGTTTGAAGTTATTAGCGCCCGCAGCCTGTCCGCGCTGCAGTTTACCTGAGGGTAGCTGTACTCCGGACCTGTTGGCGAGTCGTTCAGACAATGTCCCCAGTCACGGCTGAAATAGGGGTGATATAGTTTAACATTCACGACCGTGGTGTGGGTTAGCTAGATCTGGCTCTTCAGCTTCGCCCCTTCCCCGACCCGGGGAAACAATGTATCATCAGCGGTGTGCAATACGGTCATTGTTCTGTTCGGGAACGACCAATATGCGGCAAACGAGCGGGGCTCCGGGTGGCGATGGCAGCATCCCCGTCTGTGTTCGGAGGGATGACCAGGGGAAAGGGAGAGGGCAGAGGGGTGGGGAGGGGAGGGGCCGGTGCCGCGGGCATCCAATACCGCACTCAAAACTTTTTTACTACCTCCTGGAGAGTTCATTTTCATCAAACCCGCAAGATAATAGTATATTGAAAGGGTAACTCGCTGCTACCATTATGTGCATAGTAACGGTACGTGGTTAATATGAACTTATTCGCCAGCGGAGAGTATTATTACCATGTAAATATCAATATTACTCTCGCGATCCAGAACATCACGAAAACTCTTTCCTCCTGGGTATCGTGACTCGGGTACAGATAGTCGTTTCATGCGTGGATCTTGTTTACCCTCGTGAAGATGATATTTGAAATGGAAACAATCAGCCAATCAGAAACGAGATCGGCCGTTTGCGGTTTGAAGGCCGCGCGCATCTGTCAGTTTTCGGCCGTTGGTCTCCGAGAGCGGATGTGAGCAGTGTCGGTGCCGCGCGGCGTGGCCGTTGGTGATTGTGCTTGTGTGTTGTTCATCGCCTATAGAGCCTCTGTGGACATTTTATTGTAAGTACCGATGTGCTAGAGCATTGCGTGCCGTTGAGTGGTGCTAATTTGACCTGGTTAACAGGACCCCGTGCACGGCCACGTGGCCTAGTGTTGTGAGTACGTACATTAATTTTGTTGTGATGCTACAAGTTTATGCATTTTGTTGGTGACTTTGAAAAAGCCTTGCACTGTAGTGATCCAGTCTCATTATCTCACGCAGACGGGCGACCACCCAGGAACGCCGTCGCTCACTTCAAATATTGTGCGCTCTGCCTAATCCAATATGAGGGCGCTGAATGTCTTGTATTCATATTCAAATTGCATTCAAGTTGTATCGTGCCGTGTTTATTTACCGCTTGTGCATTGCTGAACGCTTTCTATAAATTTGTATGAATAAGTGAAGAGTCTCACAATGTTCATGGTTGGTGTGCCCCTCGTATTGTTTGTACGGAAGCCAAATATACCTACATTGTTGCTCTTGAAACATTTTTTTTTTTAGTTGGTGAGCTCCGGTTAACAGAAGCTTCGTGAAGCTTCTGAAGGAAGCGTCTGTGGGTCTGTTACCATCCTCTGGGGGGTTTACACTAAAGGAAAGAGTAAACATTACCATGTGACAAAGGGTAGGCCATAAGAATATACTCTCTGTAGGAGGGTAAAGCACAGAGTAGATGATGCGTTACTCCCTAAAAAAGGGTTCCGTTAAAGATTTACCCTTTCAAAGAGTGTAACCCAAAAAATGTTACACTCTAGACAAGAGTAAATCAAAAGAGTTTACCATTCAGAAGATGGTAAAAAAACGTCTGTGTATCATGTTACCCCTCCCTGGCGAGTTTACTCTTCATGAAAGAGTAAAATTTACCATCTGGAAGGTGGTAAAAAACGTCTGTGTGTCAAGCTACCATGCTATGGCGGGTTTACCCTTCAGGAAATGGTAAAAAAGTTTTCAGTGCGGTGCGTTCCTTCGGAGAAACCTCTGTAGAACGACGGCTCATCATTGCTGACCGCGACCCGGGCGAGTGCTCGACCCTTTGATCAAACGCTGACCAGGACCGATGCGGGATTTGTACGGGGTCACAGCTCAAAATGTCATTGAGTAAAACCTTCCAATGCTGACCAGCTAACGTACGAATGACGCGTTCAAAATCAAATCACGGCGGAAAGCTGAAATTGATGGGAATGCTTCGGGGTCAGCCACAGCCGCATATCTGGATACGTTCTTTATGTGCAGAGATATGCAGGAAATATTTCCCGTTAACTCAAGATACCGGGGCATCCATAAACAGCCAGAAACTCAGCGATGGCCGCCGGGTGACCTTCTGACATTGACTGCCGATCGTCAGCGGCCCGCCGGTCGTATGGAGAGCTTTGTTACGTCGCGGTCAGATGTCCAGTCGGACAAAGTTTCACGTCATAGTCGACGTCCAGCGGTAAATGGTCCATTCGCGGAACCAGCATGGCTCAGTGGTGGACGAAAAGTTTACAGGGCGGACAGTAAGATAAAGTCGTCCAAGTTACAAGTCGCCAAACACTGGCGCGGAAATATCAATCGGGATTGATCCATGCCACCGAGCGACGAGCGGATCACAATGAATCGATCTGCTGGCTCGGGAATCCGATGTCGGCAGGCAGAACTGAGTGAGTCATGGGTTCAAACAAGGCTGTTTGCAAAATATTACAAAAAAAAATGACATATCCAGCACCAAATCCGCTGTGCCTTATTAACTTTTATTGCTGCATCTCCACTTCTAAAAAGATGAGCTGTATCCATCAACGAAAGAATGAACGCTGTAACAAATTATGAGACAAAAATTGGGACTCGATTCGATCGATGCAGAAAGATGAATAGGCGTTTTTGCAGCACCAGATAAATCGACCCCATTATCGAACATTTGATGATGGCATCAGCTTGCACAGACTTTATTTAATAGGGGAAATACATTAGCTGCATTGTTTTCAGCACTATTTTGATAGACATGATATATAATATTACTAAATCTCCCTTACTCTCATGACAAACAAAGAATTTCAGAATATAAAAACCAGGAACTTTCGGCTCACAAGCCACCTTCTCCATCTTTGGTTCTATTTTCCTGTACCATCAATGCCGAGACGTAATTTCGAGCTGTTTCCAAAATGTGATGAGGGTAAAAGAAGACACCAAATAGTTCTGAACATCACAACAGTCGCCGATAATAAGTCACGATATCGATCAGGGACAGAACCAAACACCAATCACGGAAGATGTTCGGCATGACACTCAAACCATCTCATTTATTACTTCCGGTACCATTTCAATTTTCAATTCATCCACCGCCGAGCGAATGGTATAGTAGTTTGGACCCACAATGCCGCCACGACGGGACTTGGCGTTCGCAGAACTGGCCCGGATGCGGCGCGGGCAGAGACGGTCTGCGAGCCGCCTTAATAAACTCTATATCAGATAGCTGGGCATCCTACGGGGACGTCAGGCGCCGGCCGGCTGACGGCGATGAGAATATTATGTGAATATTGTCAAGGGATGGTGGGCCCCGGTTCCACGGAACGCAGAAATGACTGGGGCTCCGACACGTGCCAGCCGGCTACTCAATCCCAGCGTTATACCTAAAGTAAATGCGCTAATTTGATAACAGACACGCCGGTTTCCAGCACAAATAAAACATGTTTTATGTATAACGGTCCAAGCCTCAGCAGAAATCGCGAGCCATTTATGTTATTAATTTAATTTATTTCATTTATTTTATTCAGAATATCATCAACGGGCAGCCGTGGCCCAATTACAGACGAAGTCAGTTAAGTAAAATTAATTATTATACAAAAATTAATTAAACAAAAACAGAATCACACACATTTCACCTCGCTCACCTGTCACTCCACATGTCGCTCACTTAGGTAAGTAGGAGATCACATGATTCTTAAAAATCTTACTACTGTGATGCCACACGTCAGTATGACGATTTTTTTTTTTGTCCAAAAAATGCGTTGCACAGTTTCGGCATGCGGAAGAACGGATTGATTAGCACAGTATTGACTCGAGCACGTGGGACATGAAAGAGCATCCTATTACGAAGCGGGCGAGGAGGAACAGCGAGAGGAAGCCTTTACAGCAGATACGGTAAGTCTACTGCCTGACAATGAACGTTGCGAATAAACATGATATCGTGGTGCTCTCGCCACGCCGCTACAGAAGGCATTCCGAAATGAGAGAGCAATGCATCATATTCGAGCGGTGCCACTGGTTCACATCCAGCTGCCAGCCACATGAGATATTTATGTTGCACACGTTCTTCTCGTTTCATATGGGTCTCCACGGCACCGCCCCATACCACTGTATCGAACGCACGTTTGCACAGTACGCTGCCATCAACGCCTTCTGGTTACACTCACGCAGTTATCTACCACGCTTGCCCGTTTGGAATGATCGCATTAGCGTGCCCAATGCTCTGTTCGTTTTTCTTACAATTTACACAGTGCCACGCATCTACAAACCTTGTTTTAGTTGTTCAAAGAGATGTATCCGCTGGTGAATTATGTTGATGGGTTTTACGCCGTTGGCCGAATAACAACCGCGTATATTGCGTGTTAATGGTTCGGATGACACATGCATACGTAACCTTTGACGGGCGGGTCAGCGCCTGTGCGAGCAACCTCGCTTCATCGCTCCAGTGCAAATAAGGGTATAAATATTCTAGGAAACGCATGACCTTGGCATATTAGGCAAATTAGTTTTAAAATCAAGATCAGCTTGCAAGGAACATTAGTTTTTATTTGGATCAGGTCAAGGTGCGTGGTATCAGATACCTCATCCATTCCTAGGAATCACGCATATATCCAGTCTGGATATTGACCAGCTTCTTCAATAGGTAGCTGCAAATTCTCTGCTACAGTGAATCGGTTTCAAGTCACCCATCACTCAACGATGAGCCCAAGACGATGATCGTCTGACACTGTGATGTCCTCTGTTAGATCCATTCCTAATCTGGACATCGACGAGTGCTCTCAAAACTAATCAAGATGCAGTCTAGCCGCGCGTGAGCCTGCATCCTGTATGTTCTTCTGATGCTCTTATCAGACGTAGCGTCACTGTAGCGTTAAATTCACAGCCTTGAGCCTCCATCAGCGGTGTTCATTAACATTTCATCCGTCGCCGGGCGTCGCGTCCTCGCGACAGCGCGCCGGGCTATTAGAGCAGCAGAGCATACAGCCAGTCAGAGCCTTCATATGGCTGCGCGGGCAAATGTACGGGACGGAATTCGCAGAAAATGGGATCGCAAACCACCAGACCTATTGGATAAGGATCCGCAACTCATTAGGATAATGTTACTCGCACCGTGCAAGGAAACAATTCCTGGAAGCAGCAGCTTCGAACAATATAGCAGTAGTTATATAAGCGACTTAATTTTAAAATTTATGATGTTTGTACGTTGTTTTAAAAAACAACGAGCGCATTTCCTAAAATGTAGCAATGAAAGGCCTAAGCAAGGCTTCTTATGCCTTTTATCAGGTTTACTGTGGAAAATATGTTTCATCGCCAAGCGTCTCCGGGATGTTGGAAGAGGCGTAAAAGTCGTGATCGAGACGAGGATGCAATGCCATTAAAATTAATTTGTCTGGTGTTCTCTTATGGGGCACAGATAACGCTCCCACGAGCTTAGACACGGAGGTACTCGCCCATGCCCTCCAATATTTCTTTTTGGTGTCTAGGTCCAGTCCAAGTTCTAATGGAAATTCCAGTGTAATTAACATATTGTATTAGCACAGACCAATGTTTTGTCTTTGTGTCTTCTTTTCTTGTCTTTCCTCCGTGCGTTGTTGCTTTGATGATATAAACAGGACCCTAACAAGATAACGGCGATGCGATGCGTGGACTCTTTTCAGAGAAGTGTTTGTGATTGGTTACCGTAGTAACGCAGTGTAGGCGTAAATAATGCATAGGAAAGATAAAAAAGATAAAAAACAGAATGACCGGAAAACAACAGCCTCCTTCATAAACAAATTTACCATGCGCAGTTGTGAGTTGACCTTACGTGGTTTTCATGGTCTCATGATCTCATGATAATGATCTCATTGAAAACACTGGAGACCTGGAGACACTGACCTGCACCAATAAGTTACTCACTCGAGAAACTTGGTGATCTCTCTGCGCGAGCAGCGAGACCACACCACTGGTGTGACGTCATTGACCAGATTCGGTGACATGACGTGCTTCCGGTGACCGTTCTGCTGGTCGCAGCCGTTCCCGGGCCCGTCGTGGTACATTCCGAAACTGCCGGGCAGCGAGAGGCCAGGGCTGGCTGGTGATCAACTGCTCACATAAAGGGACATCTATAGGCATGTTTATGTCCCCAGGCTGGTATAGTGTGCTAATGATAAAACTATTGTTACCATTCCCGCTCAGCCAAGCATTCGCCTGGTATGAAGCAAAAGTCAATGGCGCCACTAGAGAACATACCGGCAAACAAAGGACGGTGTCGATACATTTTCAAGAAAGTGGGTCTAGAGCTGGCAAGTTCAAACAGACCAATACGACTATTAACACGCCAAAAGTGGAACGACATCCATTTCGCGGAAAGTTCAGCGCTGTCAGACGCCTAGAAAACGTTGTGAATGGCCTGTTGAGAACAAAGACTAATCGTCGAACAAACCCAACATCAGAATACCATCTGTACCTTTGCGGGGATCGTTAAAACGTGACCCGAGCCAATTAGCCTCGGCTCCTGATGCTACCACTCTATCTATAGGCCAGCGAAATTTACGCTGTGTGAACCTGGAGCCCGGAATCGATAATACAATGCCACACCCGCGTGCGTTTGTTAATACCACAGCTCTTACAAGAACTGCGACAAAGCCCACAGGGAAAATGACGTCAAGGGTGGCGAGTGATGGTCCAAAAGTGGGCGGCAGACCCACACAAAACATGCCTAGTCAAACAGTTTACCCGATATAAGTAGAAATGAATGTCACGATTCCGGGAAATGCGGATCCAGTGATCATGTTTGAACGGTTCGTAATCGGGTCATATTGAAGCAAATTACACGACTGCGCGCTGCGGTGACCCATGGCATGGGAAACGGCAAACTTTGGCGGCATCGGAGCGTAGCCAGAGTTGATTCAACCATGCACGCTACATTACACTGCATATCGAATACCTCCTCAGCATGAATATCCGAGCCCTGATGACTGACTTCACAATACATAAGTAGAACTTCCCCTGCAGTTCAACCACACAGCTCCCCCGTCACATCACTCTGTGACCAGCGGCAGAATTTTCCGACCGGGCTCACTCACTTGTGTCCCAGCTCATGGGCGATGGTGTAGGAGACAGAGAGACCCGTGTCCTGGTTGATGTTGCAGCTGCGCGATGGCTGACACATCCCCGAGACCTCAGCCATGCCGAGCGTGTTGCAGGTCTGGTTCCCACTGCAGATGTTGCGCCTGAAGACGACAGTAGTGAGATGTTAGAGCGAATAAATGATCGGCCTTTGTAGACGAGCGTCGTGTTAGAACAGTCCTGATAAAGACAAGATGCAGCTAATAGTGAAATAAAATACACAAATAAGGTGGGTATTTACATAACGATGAAACACATACATTTCTTTACTACGCTTTTGTCATTTGTGCACGCACTAAGTCTAAGGCAGTCCGTATTATAATAGTCATAGTGGAGACAAAACTACCTGTACAGTTTGTTAACGGTGCGTACTGCGTACACGTTTCTTACGCTTCAAAGTTATCGGCTCAATTCAGGAAGTGCTATCTATATCAGGATTGCTCTGATATATCTACCAGCGAGATTCCTTCCCTCGAGTATTATTTAGAGTCGGCTGAAATATTGTAATCTAATCTTCGAGGAAATGTAATAGATGAATCTGTCTAGACAGCCGATATGAGCTGCTCAAGCAGATTGGTGAGAAATCCAGCAGATCGGTCGCGTCGCAATTTTATTATTTTTATCCGCTGGCTATAGTCATTGAGAATCAGTCAATTTGAAGCTTTTGAAATTGGGCTGTCATTGGTCGGTACATTCCAGCTTAGTCCGACCTTAGTCCGAAAGTACAACACAACCAATGACGCCTCACAACACGTGACTCTTCGAAATAATTCCATTTGGATTCAATCCTGTAACTGAAGGAATACCCTATAGGTAAAGTGCACAGTCACAAGCATCGATGGCTCGAAATGCTGATAACGTAGCCAAACCATGTATTCAAATAAGGAGCCAAGTAAGCGTCGGAAGGTTGAGCGCCCGTTCTGGCGCATGTCGAGAGCGGCCGTCTGTTGAGCGCACTTGGATGTATTGCGGCACAGCATATATCCAGGCACTACTTACTAGCGCCATCTATTAGCCGCGATATAAGTATCAGCCCGTCAGATGCATTGCGGCACAGCATGCATTCAGTCATTGGCTGCTAGCGCCATCTATTAACCGAGATATAAGTATGTATGTAGATGTCATGCGGCACAGCATACAATTAGGCGTCTCCCTATCGCTATCAGATGGCAGAATGCAGGGGAGGCGCGAGCGGCTCAGCATATCCTTCGTTTGCATTTGCTTTAACTTTCACGAAATCAAAGCTAGGTTAATGCCGGTGATCCGTAAGTATGTGGCAATCAGCTATCACTCAGATGGTGAACCATTTAATCCGGACCAATCATGAAGTTATCAAAAGGCTGGGTTTTCCCTGCCGGGGCACCTCCTCAAGGCACTGGGCCTGCATTTCAAACTTAATCCATCGATTTAGGACTACAACCCGATCTTTGTCGATTGCTGACACTACTCAATCAATTTAGGGAATTCATCAAACAGCCATTGACACTGCTGTGCTGCAATTGACGTGGCCCATAGGAAGACAAGCTATCGTAAAGGGGAGAGTATTTGTTGGTGTAGAATGTAGATGGTCGGTTAGCTAGACTCACAGCCAGTAGATTCCAGCTCACGTGGTGAGAAGTACGACTACAATCTTACCCGGTAAAATCAGCTCACCTGGTGAGAAGCACGGCCACGTCGTGGTGGTTTGGGTGACTCTCGTTTGAAGGGTTCATAGCGGTTTGCCAGTTGCAGAAGCTCTTTAGCGCACTGTCACCGTCGCCGCTGATGTTAAAGTATAACTGAAAAGGGGATATCTTTAGTTAAAGCTATAATACCACCTGACACGCACTGTTTGATCGCAACTACTTGAATACAGATAAGGTAGTGCCTATATTCTAGAACAGGATATTCTCATTTGATGCAAATTAATGCAGCAAGTTTTCATGCAAATGTATGTACTTTATGTTGTTTCATGTCTCAAAAGCATAGGTGGAGTATTGTGCTGGAATGGGGGTGCCCGAGCTCCCCAAACTCCACGCCGGCTTGGCTTTGGAGCCGCAACAGACGGCGGAGGTCAAGGTCACCGCTACGGCGGCGGCGGATTTGCTTCCCCCCCCCCCCCCCCACAGCTTGGCACATTCCTCCATCCATGTCTCAAAGAGTTAATGATGCGTAAAAAGGTCAGACATGCATTGATAAAATCAGATCGTCTAAAGCGTTGGTGTCGACTTCATCTATCCTGGGTTGCGAAAAGTCAGACGTTGCGGTGTAACTATAAATCACTTGTGAAGACCAGCCAACATAAATACGAGCATCCTCTCCCATTCATTCAAGCATGTCTGGCAGTCCGATTCTTTGGCCTTTGACAGCGTCTGGCTGAGCTAAATAAAGAAGTTCTAGTGTGGGATTTGCTCCAAATAAAGCTAGTGAAACGTCCAATGAGATTGACTTTCCAGTGATTGGAGTTTCATTTGGCACTGAACTAACCATCACACCGTTCCGTGCTTCTATCCTCAGGATACTGAAATCCTTCTCCTCCACGCCGCAACCCCCTCCGGGCTGGACAGGCAACTTTATCTCATGCGGGCTGCTCCCTTGGAGCGGCACCGCTACTCCCGAGGGAGCGCACCCCGTAGCCGGGTGTAGCGAGTGCCTTGGGGCTGGGTGGCCTGTCCTCTGGACGGGCTCAGCCCCGGCGACTCACTAGGGTGCCTGCCCAGACCAATGTCTCCCCCTATATCCTATCATCCTCCCGGCTCTGAAATGGTCTTAATGGACCGAAAGGGCCTAACCCAACAAAACAAAAACAAACAAAGAACTAACCATGGACTTTTGAGCGTGGCAGCGATCGGTGATGTTAGCGATCGGTGACATATTAACAGATCGGAGGGCACCTGCGAAATTCCAATGCGATGATAGAAGATATGTTTAACGGCATAAAGTAACGAAATCCGAAACAAGTGTGAGTAAAGTTGGGAAATTGGTGTATGGACAATTGTAGCACATAATTCACAGTTCGAAGAAATGAAAAAGGAATTTGATTGCTGAGCTAAAAAACTTCGAAAAATAGCAACCTCATGTGTAAGCCAATGAGCAAATGTCGATAGAAAATAATGTTTTAACATGGCATTATTGTTATCGGATGACGGATCTATATGCCTTCCTTACTTTGTTTACATTAGTGTCAGCTTCCAAAACAAGGAGGTGAATCGTTCTAACCAAAATATAAAATGAGAACTGAAACAAATCAGCGCCGGTAATTGAACTCTGTGACCAACACATTTCGAGAAGGTGGGCAGATGCTAGGAGATAACCTTAAATCAGGCGTATATTATCCAACCCATGTAAAGAGTCGGCCGGGATTTGGGGCATCATCCCAGTGGAACGACCGTATCTGTGTTTCACGGGGCGATGAGGGCGGAGTAGAAACTATTTGCTTTACGTTGCATCCGTAAATGCTGCTTGGCTCGGACTGCTCGCTGTTGCCATTTGAAGCCCGGTATTTGGGCTGTGTTGACGTTTTTTCCATTTTGATATCGATGAGCTGACGCTTATGTTGCGTTGTGCGTCGACTTACATCGCTATCCTCGGGCGCCTCCAGAACCATGATGCGCACCAGAATCACGTTGATGGCGTTACCGATGCTGGCATCATGATACAGCTGCGCTACCTGGCGGGAGGAGCAGACACTGTCAGTGCAGCCGGCCACCACTGCTTGCTCGAAAATGTGACTCAGAAATGCTCTAAAACGATGCAAATTGTAACAAACTTTTACAAAACCGCACCCGTAAAAAAACGGTCAAACGCTAAGCATTGCCAAATGGGTCTCTACGTGCTTATTGTTGTCAGAGCAAAGAGATCGATCATTTTAGCATACTGTACACCGACGCTCAAAGTCCCCTGAAACGTTTTCACGTCATGTCTTACCCCATTCATAACAGTAAGAAGATACGCCTCCAGGTTATCCGCCGCGTAGAACTGCACAACGTCGGGATCGGCGACGATCAGCGTCTCGACGTTGCGCTCGAAGCTGACGGAACGCCGCCGGCGAACCCTGGCCGCCTCTGACCGCCGGGCCCGGCTCCAGGCCCGCTCCGAGGCCGTCCAGTTTCCGCGGCCCGACCGCGAACCTGGGGACAGGGCACGGGGTAGGTGGCAGCACAATCGCGCCGCCAGACAGGGCAGGATAGCGCAGACGTCACCAAGTTGTAGGTCTGAAGGGAATATCACTGAGTGAAGCCCCTATAAAGATGAAAGCAACTGTCAAGATGTACGGTTAAAAAGGGATGCCTACGAGTCCCGTTCAGCCACAGTACCTGTTTATAAGCCATGACGTTTCTGGATATAGCTTTTAAAATGATGTACGGCAACTCTCACTGCATGTTTTCGATCATCGAGAGAGAGCATATTCCTCTCACTCACCAGCGGTCCGGCAGGTGCCGGTTCCCCGCTCCGATGCGCCCCCGTTCGGTCCGGTGCCGGGTGCGTGGCGCCGGTAGACTAGATGGGGCCTCGGGCCGTCCCGGGGTGCGTCCTCACCCCTGACCGGCTCTACAATGTACTGCTGGTCCTCCGTGTGAATGTAGCCCAGCTGGAACAGAGCAGGAATGGTAGAGCTAGTGAAACGGCTGCCAACGGCAAACGCACGGTTCTGTAAGGACATGGGTGTTGATATTCCTTTGGGTCTACAGAGATCTGTTGAAAAATATCACCAGGCAATAACAATTTGAAGTGTCACCTGCTGCAATTCAATAAATGCAAGAGTTCAACCTGGATCACTATGAAACCTGAATACGTTATTTGACAATATTCAAAGATTCACAGCCAAACTACTTTATCGCCAGTTGCCTGTGCAAGCGTCGGTTCGATATCCCTCACCGCTTCGCTAATTGTCCGTGTCAGTTACACGGATCAACACGTTACAGACGTGGTCTCTGAGTGATAACAACCCACTGATTTTCATCAGTCAACATTCGCCGGCGGGCGGCTCACGCCCCCACGTCCACCGGTTGCCAGTTGGAGTCGAGCCAGCTGGCAGCCCTGACCAGCCGACGAACCCAGTTAGAGGGACCGGGGAAGCGCGTGACCTACCCCACCGGTGGCCACGCGGCACGGCAAGCGCCGCCGAGCGGCCGGGTGTTCCGCGGCAGAAAGGATGCATAAAAAACATCGATCACGCCGAATGAATCAGAGGTGGGCGGCGATCTCATATGAACATGGATGACTTGGCAAAGTGCGATCATAACTCTTCTCATAGACAAGTGTAGTTCATATAGACTGTATGAGTATCAGGTTGATATTGAGCAGTCAGACTACGCCCTTTGAATAGTTATAAAAACGTAACATGGCAATCGCAACATCTGAGAAAAAGGCAGCCAGCACTACGTTAAAATTAGTGATGTCACTTACGGAAAATCGTGATACCGATACCAAACCAAATACCAACAATATCCATGGAAAAATAAAGAAACCAAACCGACTTTGGAAAATGAGGAAAATACCAACTTTTTACCAAATCCTCAGCCTCTTTTACGTTAGTGAGGATTCATAATACCAACAAAATACCAAATGCACTCGCCTTGAAATACCAAATACCAAGTTGGTATCGGTTTGGTATCGGTATACCAAAAAGTTGGTATCCGATTGACATCTCTAGTTAAAATATCTTGACGTAATTGAGAGTTTTCAAACAAGGCAAGCAGAAATGCTATCCAAGCACATTAGGTCCCTGTTTAGCTATGTACAGCCCACCGCTAAAGTAATTAATGTGCCGTTTTACCAATATCAACGGATGGCTTTGACTGTCGATTTTTAATGCGGAGTGATCGAAAAAGAAGACGTCAATAGAAAAAGTTCAAGCTGCAAGGGTGACGATACACGTAAGCTACATTCAAAGTTTCACTGTAGTCTGGCTAATCGTTCCCAAGCTTCAGAAGCAGAACATACCCATGACTGAAACCGCATATTACTTCTGCTGTAGAGTGTAGACTGTACCTTCTATGCACCTTAGGAAGCTGGATGACAAAGATATGAGCTCGTCACTCATATTTCACATACCTAGCTATTTTAAAAATGGTGGAAAAGAACTGAAGTCAAAGCCACAACCTTCGGAACCACGTTATATAATTTAAGACCGTAGACTAGATAACCTGCTAATATGTTTAGTGACGTCAAAGAACCTGACGGGCTCTTGCATTTCCACATTATTATCAGACATGAATCCCATTCTCAGACAGCCGTGCAGACGGCCGGCTGGTAATTTGACCTCATAGCCACATATTATCAGGCTTGCGGTTGAAGTTTTATTTTCCTTCAACACCGAGCCAAAATCCAGCAGTACTCCGTACGTAACAGCCAACAGGCCCTGGCGGGCCACCATTTCCTGCGCACGAGTCCCCCGAAAGGCTGGCATTCCTTAAAACCAATCCATGGAAGGCTGCCATTCCGTGCGTACCTGCCCCTGTTATTCTGCCATTCCGTGTGTTCCCATCGTTGTCAGGACACCATTATGTACGCATGTGCCAGTCCCTGTCAGGGCAGCATTCCGTCCGTACGTATACCAGGACACTACTCAGTACGCAACTACAACCATGCACTGCCCTGTTAGAACGCCGTTCCGTCCGTACACCAGTCCCCATTCCGCACGCACGCACCCGTCCCTGATATAGCACCACTCCGTACTCACCAGTCCCTGGCAGGCGGAGATGGCCACCATCGAGTTGGGCCGGCCGCGCAGCCGTCCCTCCATCAGACAGTGGCGCCGCAGCCGCTCCAGCCGGCCCGGCCGGCCCGCCTCCGAGCGGCGCTCCACCACGAAGCCGGGCGCGATCAGGCGCCGGTTGGGTCTCACGTCCAGCACCACCTCCTCGTCGCTGCTCAGCTGCAGCCGGTAGTGGGCCGTGCGGTCCCGGCGGCGCAGTCCCCGCCGCCAGCGCCGCCCCCGCCCCCGCCACGGCTCGGGGGCGGCGTCACCGACGTCATATGTCTGACTGACGTCGTGCGTGATGTGGGAGCCGTCGTACTGGACCCGCTCCGGGTACGTGATGTGGTACGGCCCCGCTGACGTGGCGGTCATCCTGCCTGAGAACGGCACACAGAAACACAGTGGCAGGGTAGTGACGAGTGAGAATGGCGTACACAGAGACAGGCATAATGATAATTAGGTATGTGCTACAATGCGCTGATGATAGCGTGATCATATATGCCAGTGAAAAGAAATTTTATCTGAGGGGAATAAAAGTTAAGACAATAGGGTTTAGATAATGGCCAGGAACATATTTTCTCCTTTATGAAGAAATCGGCCTTTAGTTTTTACATCGGAGCCTGGACTGGGATTTCATGTGAAGGGAAAATAAAACGGGATTATGTTGTTCCGTAACTGCTTGAATAGTTGCTTTTACTTCCACACTTTCTTTTTCAATTCTTTTTTTCTACTTTCCATTCCACTAAGCAGCAATTTGGAGTTTTATCTCTTGACTGTGTTGAGGCTCTCAGTTTGATTTATAGGCGGCAATGTATACGCTCGGTGCGCAGCAGTTTGAGCCCGTTTACGACGCTATCAGGCTTGTTATGGTTAGCCGTCACTAAATAGCAGAGGACGACAGCTAGAGAGCGCTAGTACTATACTCACACACGGAGACTAAATACGCAAACGGGTCGTGTGGCCACACTATCATGTATGGTGGCGCGTCGTGGCGTTACTGCTTCATACTACCAAGTGTGTTTAGTCATGACATGACAGATGGCAGATAAAACGGATATACGGTGTGTACCTTGGCAGTGTTTACCCGTGACATTGACACTGCTCAGTGGCTTGAGTATGATGACAGTCTGCTCTCAGCGCTCAATTCATCGAACGATGAATCAACACAAATAACAAGCTCGAGCATCTGGCAAATAATTGCTCATCGAGGAAGCATGCATCGGCAAACTCACATGACTGTGTGACCACCACTATGATTGGTGTTTGGTGTAAGCACAGTGACGTTACATGAGTGCGATGACGTCATCAGCAGCTGTCGTTTGCAGAGGTTTACGAGCAGAGGTAGTGCCCTTACGATATGTAATCAGAATGACTGCAAGCGTGTAACTTCTTGTGATCGGTCGGCTATGGATGATTCACTTCATTCATTTTTCGTAGTCAGAATAAGAAGGCATTTGTAAACAATATTTATTTTGTTCCTCACAATATCGCATTACGCTTTAGCTTGTTATTATTCAACAGGGAACAAAGCGGCTCCATTCATTTTTGAGGCTGGATAATATATACAGTGTTCCAGTGCATGACATTTATTACGTGTTTACTCTGTCATCAAATTGTTAAACTTCATATTTCCCAATTCCTATCCCATCCCGTCCCATTCCATCACATTCCATCCCATTCCCAAGGTTCAGCCATTCTTACCCACCCCACCCCAAGATCCGTACCGACGGTCAGAGGCTGGCTGCCGTCGGTCTCTGGGTGAGTGTAACTGTCCGGGGCCGTCCCTAAAGGAAAACCACGACCTCTCCAACACAATCGTGCAGACCCTCGTAAGTCGGCTGGCATCACCGCAGTCTCAGGTAGTGACAGAGTTCTGCGGTCATCGTAGCATGTTTAAACGGCCACGATGACATCTGCAAGGCCTCTCTATGGCCTTACCCAGGCCTCTGCAGTCTGCAAGAACCTAAAAGGTTAAAATGCTGAGCCTTTAGCAACATACTTCGATGTATCTGGAACTCCTCCATTTCGACGCAATTGGTCGTTACTGATAGTTACTTGTGATCAAATGAGTAAACTTTTTACGTGCAGAGAAGAATGCATAGAAGATCCAATAAACGTCAAAGATAGTGCTCAACTGGAATCATAATGGACGTAGAGTGGTTTAGATCGCGAGCAAGGACGGGGGAAAATTTTAGTATGCCTGACTCACGGCAATAACTTTGAAAACTGACGTACAATAAACCAGTCGCTAGCGGTGTGCCAAATTTGAACGCAATCGGCCCAGCCGTTCCTGAGATCTGGAAGCGGCATTCTGCACGTGCGCACGTGCAAACGGGGTCCAAAATGACTTTTGCACGGCACCCTACAAACTGGTCCCCAACCGTGTACCAAATTTGAGCGCAATCGGCCCAGCCGTTCTCGAGATCTGGAAACGCCCCCTGCACGTGCGCACGTGCAGTAGCACCCTAACCGCAACACATGGGAATGCAATGCCTGGTGGGTGCCTACCTGTATGCCAAGTTTCAGGGAAATCGCCCCAGTAATTACCGAGTTACTGAAATGGGAACAAATTTGGCACCTCTTATTGTTGTATTTTGCACGTGCACTGGGGGTGACCCACATACATCGAGAGTATCCTATTTTGGGTAGAAGGGATGCTGCTACCCTACAAAAATTACCGCAAGTCAATCGCCCAAGCGGCTGCTGAGATATGAGCCTCAAAAAATCACTACTTTTGCAAAACAGCTTGAACACCCCTGACTTTTCACGTGGCACGTGCCACGACGGTCACTGAGATGTATCAAAAGTAGTCAATTACGGGGTAGAAGGGATGGGGCTACCCAACAAAAAAGACCGCAGGCCAATCGGTCCAGCGGTTGCTGAGATATAAGCCTCTCAAAAGCGTTACAGGCCGGGCCGGGCCGGGCCGCTCATACTGAGATTTTTCCGTTATATGGAAAAGACTCACTTCGCTCGCTGCGCTCGCTCGCTCGTAATTAGAAATACAGAATAGGATGAAATCGAGTTAACAGAAGCTTTAATTGTTCATTGCAGCAATGGAAAAAAAACTAGCGGGGGAGGAAGGCAGGGCATAGATGTAAACTACATCCGACCAATCGAGGATGTTTCAGATTTATAGGACCATTTCAATTCAACACTTACACCGGCAATCAAAGCAAGACAACCGCCTCGACTATATTTCCGAAAATCCAACACCGCTAACCTTTCTCACTCTGTGCACAAACAGAGTCGTGGCACGGAGGGTTGCCGACCGCCCCAAACTCGATATTTCCGGCCCGAGCAGTGCTGTTTACAGCTGCTTTTCGCGGACCGTTTCCGGCGTTGGAGCAGCTCGGAGGCACGGTCTGGCCCGCGCACCGTCTCTGCAGTGTTGTGCACAGAGCAACAGTGCACACAGCCCAGGTAGGACAGCCACGAGACTGGTTTTGGCACATGGAAGGCAGGTCTACGCAGAGACGGGCGACCGAGCTGGTCCAATGGAGGGTTTTAATAGAGCTACAATAACATGAATCTTACATTAAGAAGGATCTTCTCAGACATTCCTAATTCTTTAGCCAACTCTTCCCAACAATTTCAATGTTTTCCAAAATTTGCAAATATCAGTGACGGACCATCGCGACTGTATGAACACTAGGCTCGTTCATTAAAGGGACCCTCCCACCTTCAAAAAAGTTAATGAATTGGCATGAAAGTGATGTCCCTTGGTTCAGAAAGAGCGAAAACGAATATCTACAAAATTTCACCGAAAAATATTCACTGGTTTTCAAGATATTAGGCTTTTACTTTTGTTTACTTTTTGGGATCTCCCCTGTTACTAGCGACTTTATTTGGAAGCAATAATTTGGCAGCCTTAAAGTGCGGCAGACGTTGCGCGCAAAGCAGCGTATACCACCACGTGTTAACGATGGTTTTAGTCTAAGATTTAAAAATCGTTAGATCTCCGCTGACGTCACAAATTCTAAGGGGGCATTCCAATGCATTAGCCCCTTAGAATCCGAAAACTGCAAGTTTGAAATTCCATATCTTCGAATTAAAGCATTTTTCGATATTGTGAGTGCCCAAACCGGTATTTGCAGGCCATGGCCACCAATTTGGCTATCTCAACTCAAAACTAATGTTAAGGTGGGAGTGTCCCTTTAAAGACCGTTTTGAGTTGAGATAGTCGAATTGGGACCCCTGGCTTGCAATTGCTGGTTTGAGCACTCCCAACATCAAGAAACGCTTTAATTCGGAGACAGTTAATTTCAAAGTCTGCAGCTTTGGCATTCTAAGGGGCTAATGCAGTTGAATGCCGCTTCGACTTTGTGACGTCAGCGCAGATCTAGCCATTTTTAAATATTATACTAAAACCTTGGTAAAAGACAATGGTTGCTGTGGTGGTATATACTGCCTTGCGCGCAACATATGTGCACTTTTAAGATACGAAATTATTGCTTCCAAATGACGTCATACGAACAGCGGAAGTCCCCCCTCCCCCAAATAAAAGTCTTATATCTCAAAAGCTTGCGAATATTTTTGATTGAAATTTAGTAGATATACATTTTTGCTCTTTCTGAACCACGGTACATCACTTCGATCACGGTAGATCACTCTTATGCCACTTCATTAACTTTTTTGAAGGTGGGAGAGTCCCTTTAAGTGCTGGCGTTTGGGCTAAAACATGGACCTCTGTAACCAGAGATATCTATGGCTAAAGTTAATTAAGAAAGAGGAGACTTGAGAGAGCAGAGACAGGCAACAGAGAGAAGAAAAGGAAGATAAGATGGAAGGAGAAGGAGATAGAGAGAGAGAGAGAGAGAGAGAGAGAGAGAGAGAGAGAGAGAGAGGGAGAGAGAGAGAGGGAGAGAGGGAGAGAGGGAGAGAGGGAGAAAGAGAGAGAGAGAGAGAGAGAGAGAGAGAGAGAGAGAGAGAGAGAGAGAGAGAGAGAGAGAAAGAGAGAGAGAGAAAGAGAAAGAGAGAGAAAGAGAAAGAGAGAGAAAGAGAGAGAAAGAGAAAGAGAAAGAGAAAGAAAAAGAGAAAGAGAAAGAGAAAGAGAAAGAGAAAGAGAAAGAGAAAGGAGGAGAAGGAGGAGAAGGAGGAGAAGGAGGAGGAGAAGGAGGAGAAGGAGAAGGAGGAGAAGGAGGAGAAGGAGAAGGAGAAGGAGAAGGAGAAGGAGAAGGAGAAGGAGAAGGAGAAGGAGAAGGAGAAGGAGAAGGAGAAGGAGAAGGAGAAGAAGGAGAAGGAGAGAGAGAGAGAGAGAGAGAGAGAGAGAGAGAGAGAGAGAGAGAGAGAGAGAGAGAGAGAGAGAGAGAGAGAGAGAGAGAGAGAGAGAGAGAGAGGGAGAGTTCAATGCCTACGAAATCGGTCTGCAGCGCTC